ATTCAAAATGTTTTTGGCAATTTATCGCTTTTCTTTAATTTTTTTTGTGGGAAAGCATTGCTTCTTTAGAACTTGTGAGACAGCGTAAATTCTCTAAATCTTCTGATATTTTTGTATGATGGTTAACCCAGATAGGACTAAAGTTGCCACACAAAAGTCCCGAATTGCCCTGGTAATCTGAAAAAAAAATCTATTGAGATCTAAATCTCACATCTGAAATTTTTTTTGTTATTATAGGTTCAAAAATTTTATTATGCAAACACAGATTTTGCTAAATCAAATTTTGTAGTACTTTGTAGTTTCTGCCCTCAAAATTTGTTCCCTCAAAATCAGAAGCTTCGGGACAAGCACCTAAGCATTAATAGTTGAGGTTTGATAGGTTTGTAAATTAGGTGGTTCACAATTATAATTAAAAACTGTTACCCGAAATTCTTCCCTCTAATTAATCTAATTATAATAAAATATAGCAGACAAAGTGAAGAACTGAAAATTACCAGTCTTAATCAAAAAGCACATATTTTATAAAATAAAGTCAAAAAGTCTATTTAATGAGTGTGAATTTGTCTGAAAAAACCAAGCACCTCCAGCAGAAGTTTTTTTCACTTTTTCTTAAGTAGGAAAAATCCAAGAATTGATCAATTTGACAACGGAAATCACTTTTCTCTCATTTCAGCACGTAAAAAAACCTAACTCACAAAAAGATCACCCGTATTTGACTAAATGGTTGGCTTACTGGCATTGCCTGTAGTTTGGCATTAGTTAATCATCGGCCAAGAGATGCTTGCTTTGAAAATTTTTTAGGCTGTCTTTCCGGATACGAGCCTTTCAAGTATCTTTCAGTGTGCTTCTATACACCAATTGAGAACTGAGATGCCAAAAAAAATTGTGACAACTTTCAAAGAAAGGAAGGAATATATTCGATCGAGGTGGTTTTTATAAAACCAATGTAGGCATTCGAAATCGTATTTTTTTCATGAAAAATTTTATCTATCATTGAGGCTATCCTATCGACTACTTTTGTTCAAATAATGAAAAACAATTTCCTGAAATTTTCATTGGGTAATGTCTGATCGATCTGTTTGAAAAAGTTTTGGACTAAATTTGCGCGCTATAAAGATTTCAACAAGGTGTTGTAAGCGTAACGAATTATTTATGAGTGGAGAATTATGCTGCGCTAAAGAATTCCCAATTAATTGAATTGAGGATAGCTAATTGATCCTTTTAACTCCCCTATCTGATTGTCTGTGCGCCTTTTTAACACTTATTTCATGTCGGCTGTTTGGGAACAAAAAACAAACAAAAAAAACACTTCAGGTTATCAAAAAAATTTTAATCAAAACTTTTTGAGACCATTTACAGGGCAGTCTGAATTTTCAGGGCTTTGCATTTATATGCGAGCAGTCTTGTAGTTCCGACTTTCGATACGAAAGTAACGGAATATTTCTGCTCGGGTGGGTTTTTTTTTCTTCAAAGAAATTTCGACTTTTTAACTAGCTATTTTGACGGAACTTTTTTTTTATCATTCAAAAACTATTGTTGTCCTGGCTTAAATTTGAAAATTTATTTTACTGTGATCATTTTTTGTAAAGTAATGAGGGTTTAAAGATTGCATTTTGGCCAATTTGGGACAATTAACGCGCGATATTATTCGCGCTAATAACGATTAAGCGGAGATTGAATCCGTCTTATAAATCGTTCCAAATTGCTTAAACGAAGCTTATTTTCCATAATTGATTTGTTACCACGAGCGAAATCTATTGTTTTTTTTTATATGGCGTGTGGGGGGATGATTTTTATAGAAAAATTTTCAAAATTTAGAAAAAAGTTTTTCATTTTAATTTATTTAATTTAGTTTTTTTGTTGTTTATGTTATTACTGCTCCATGAACCTTAAAACGCAGTCGGAACTTTCAGGGCTTTGCCCTGATACGAGCAGTCTTTTTGTCCCGACTTTTGATACGAAAGTAACGGAATATTTGTGCTCGAGGTGGGTTTCTTTTTTTCTTCAGACAAATTTGGACTTATTAACTAGCCATTTTTGAAGGAACGATTTATTTCATTCGCAATTTATTATTGTCTTGAGCGTAAATTTGATAAAATATTTTCTGTGATCAATTTTTGTAAAGTTATGAGGGTTTAAAGATTGCCATTTTGGCCATTTTGACCGTTTTGGGACAATTTACGCGCGATAGAATTCGCGCCACTAACGCGTAAGCCGAGATTTAATCCGTCTTCGAAATCATTGCAAATTGGCTGAAAGAAGCCTATTTGCCACAATTGATTTTTTACAAGGAGCAAATGATTTGTTTTGTACTTTATATGGCGTGTGGGAGGATGATTTTCATCTAGAAATCTTCAGATTAAAAAAAAAAAGTTTCATTTATTTTTTCAATTAATTTTTTTTAATGTTGTTTTTGTTATTACTGCTCCATAAACAATATAAGGCAGTCGGAACTTTCAGGGCTTTGACATGATACGAGCAATCTTGTGTTGGACTTTTATTTCAAACATAATCGAATATAATGGATTATCTTGGCAAAAATAATCAATTCCAGTAGCAAAAAAATGGATTATAATGGATTATTTTTGTATCGGGGATCCATTATAATCAATTAGAATCCATGGGCGCTCGGTGCGGAAGGTATGGGGCCCGTATAAGTCCACGTCTCAGGAGTGGCTGGTCTTGGTTTTGCATGATTAGGAGTGTATGCAATGGAAGAAGTAGGCGATTCTTAGCGTCAATTAGTTAAATTTAGTCCCAGTGTTTTGAAGCCAAAGAACTGGAGTTCTTGAGGGCAGGCCTTTTTGACAAGAACAAGTTTGAATTTGAAGTCAAGGCTCAATTTCACAAAGCCTTGAGCAAGTTTGTGTAAAATGTGACAGATTGAGGTGGTTCAGTTACATTTGAGAGATTCTGCGGATATGATCGAAAGATTTGAGCCCCTCATCGTCCAAAGGCTCTCCCGCTTATGACCATTTTATCAAATTTCAGCCAAATAAATTTTTCATTATGATATGATCATTCCCAAAATCCAACACTTTTTTAATTGCATGTATGAATTTCAACGCAGATAAAAAGTTCAATTGTTCCTACTCAAAATGGTTTATTATTCCGACTTTCGATACGAAAGTAACGGAATATTTGAACTCGGGGTGGGTTTTTTTTTTGCTTCAGACAAATTTCGACTTTTTGACTAGCCAGTTTTGACGGAAATTTATATCCTTCAGAAAGTATTGTTGTCCTGTGCTTAAATTTGAAAAGATACTTCACCTGTGATCATTTTTCGTAAAGTTATGGGGGTTTAAAGATTGCCATTTTGGGGAATTTGGGACAACTAACGTGCGATATATTTCACGCTATTAACGCGTAAGCGGAGATTTAATCCGTCTTAGAAATCGTTCCAAATTGGTTGAAAGAAGCTTATTCGCCATCATTGATTTGTTACAAGGAGCGAAATCTATTCTTTTGTACTTTATATGGCGTGTGGGGAAATGATTTTCATTAAAAAGTTTCAAATGTTAGAAATTTTTTTTTCATTTATTTCATTACTTTTAATTTTATTTATGTTATTACTGCCCCATAAACCTTAAAAGGCAGTCGGAACTTTCAGGGCTTCGCCCTGATACGAGCAGTCTTGTTAGGTTTAGTCTTGCTGTCTACTTATTAAAGGATCACTCATTAGTTTTATCAACTAAGCCCTATCAAATTTCGGTTTTTGAATTCAAAATTCGGTCTTTTAATTTTTCAAAATCTTTCAAAAATTGTGCCAGAGTGCGAGAATTCTTTCGAGTGGTTTTACCAACCGATGTTTGTTCTGCAGATGTGTCTGTGAGGATGGCCTAATATCGGTTACTAGTCTTCTCAACAGTAGTAGCGATGAGCCATCAGCCTTCTCAACGACCAACATGAGCAAAAGCCAGTCTGCTGGCCGCAAGAAGGTGAAGATAAAATCAACCATACGTGAGAGCCACTTGCAGTTGAGTTTGTTCATCCAAAACAAAGTGTCGCAGGGAGTGTATTGCGTGAAACCCACTGAAGTTCCGCCTGCAAAATGGAAACTTGAGTTATGATAAAAAAATTTAACCAAGACCAACTTATAAGTAAATTCAAATCTTATTGCTATTTTCATGAGCGGTCAAAATTACGGATTCAGGTCTTTGGAGTTGGTACGTTTTTCTGAAAACTCGACAAGAACTTCGAATCTCCCGTGTTGACCTCCATAGACCAAAAATGCTAATGAAACAATTCCATAAACTAAGTCTATGAAAAAATACTAACCATACAAATTTCATAAATTTTGCTACAGAATTAAAACATTGCAGGCTCTTTCCAATACATTTTTAATGCGAGACGGCCAAACCTTTGGTTACTACGTTTGATAACCAAGGTTTATGTCATTTGTGTTTGGTTACGAACACAACCAAAGAATGTTGAGAAATTAAAATGCAAAAAATCAATATTTTTGGTTTATGGAAAAATGCTAGTCATACAATTTCCATATATGAAAAAATACTAATCATAGACCTTTCATGCAATTTTCTGCACTTATGGAATTGCATGAAAAGTGTATGATTAGCATTTTCCATATATGAAAATTGTATGACTAGTATTTTTGGTCAACCCGGGCTATCAGCATTTATGTAATCATGGTCACTGTGGCTCTCAGAAAAATCATTAAATATTTGCCCTATTGTTATAATTCAACATTCAACTGCCTGGTGGGACAGCAATCAGTCCTGCCGCGCTCCTGTTTCGTGCCTCATTTATCCCTGCTTATTTGAGCACTTGCTACTAGGAACTAGGTCGAATATTGCGTTTGCTTTCCTGTCTGCTATTTTTCCACACGATAGAAACTGCAGTATGGCATTCTTTTCTCACTAGTGCCTATGCGCATACATATACATTCAATGAGCATTTATGGTTTACCACGTATAACTTGGAACGACCACCACCACCACCACCACTACGCGTATTTGCTCTGTACATTCATTCTCTTCTCTTCTCTTCTCTTCTCTTCAGCTACAACGCTCTCTCAATCGCTTCTTTTGCACTCTTTAGCTGCAGATTTGTATATTCTACAACTTAAACAATTCTGTCGTGACTAAGATTTAATTACTAACACCTTATTTCCAAAATTGAGATTTTTCAATGCGGAAAGTGGATTAATCGATCGATCGAAAATAGCTCAAATTGCAATTCAAACTCAATATTTTCACAAAAAACCAGCAGTAAAAAATGGATAAAAATCTATTATTTGAAGACAAATAGACAGCAATCGGATTAATTTAATACCTTTCGTTTTATTACGAGTCATTAACGTGTGAGGCAGAGGCGGATTTAGGGGGGCGGTCGCCCCCTTCAGGGATTAGACCCCCTCACGAACCAAAGGGTCCCCCTGTGGTATTATTTTTAACATCCGTTTTCAGACGACCGACCCTAAAACTTTTCTAAAGGTGCTTTTGGCGCTAATATATGCTAATTTTGCGCGCCAAAAAAACGCGCCAAAACAGTGTTTTGGTCAAAATTTTCCAAAGTATGCTCAATAACGGCATTTTTGCCCTGCTGTTTCAAAAATTTGCCTGCCGAGCAATTTTTTATATTTCAAAATTTGGTCGACCTAAAAATGGAAAATTTTTGAAAAACCGCCTCCTTCAAGAAAATCATAGATCCGCCCCTGGTGTGAAGACTTTTATATAGTTATGGGTGATTTTTTTGTTGGTTAATTTTTTTTTGGAAATAAAACAAAAACTTTAAAAATGCGTAATAAAAACTTGCTTTTTGATTGCTTTTTTTTCAAATCGGGCAAGTTTTATCAAAAAATTTCACTTATAATTGGTTCTGGAAAATCAAAGAAATTATACATTTTTTTGAGTTTCAAAAGTTGAATTTTTTTTCAAAAAGTAAGTCAATTTTAAATGTTGCTTTAAAGTTATAGTAAAACTCTCAATTGGTTCTATTTTCAATTGGTTCTATTCGAAAACGGGAAGTGTTTTTTGAAAATTGTTCAATGATATCACAAGCTGCAATACGATATATCATTCGAATATCGTATTCGGATGATTTTTTGGGATGATTATTTGTGCTACCTGATTTTGCGAGATTCAACTCGCTGCCGACCCAAAGGGTCCCCACTTTGTACTATTTTGAGATAACCGATTTTGACTGGCAGACCCAAAAATTTGGCGCCAATGTATACTAATTTTTAGGGGGATAAAAAATGCAATTTGGTAAAGAAGTTTCCAAAAAGGGCCTAAAAGACTATCGTTGGCTTGTTTTTTCAAAGTTTGACCGCAGCGCAGAAATTTTGACCAAAAGAGAGTCTTTTTAGAGCTTTGGGAGAGCTCGGAAAATCATTTTCATCCTACTAAAAAAACGTCGACAAAGTTTTTTGAAAATCCACCCCCCCCCCCTCTCCAGAAAATCCTAGATCCGCCCCTTCTCTAAGCTAAAGTTGAGGTACTCCTTAATTGGTTTTGAAAGCCTATACGACAATCTCTTCTTTTTATTTCAAAGCAAAGTTTTTTTACATGTGGGTAAAAGGAATGCATAAAATTGTCTTTTTCAGTTTTTGTTGGATTAAAATCCATTTTAATCAATTTTTTATCCATTTTTCTCACTGCAGAAAACCTTTAGTTTCTGTTTTGGTGTTCTTTTATAATTTGCTTACGAGTGTTTTTCCGATTTAGCGCAAGCTTTACACCCTCTATTTCTCAAAAATGATGAAAGTCACATCTCTGAAACTGACCAAGATCAACCCCCACCTGATCTGTCCCCTCTGCAATGGCTACTTAATCAACGCCACCACAACTATCGACTGTCTGCACACATTCTGTAAAAGCTGCATCTACAACTACCTACAAACACAAACTTCAGACAACAAGAAATGCTGCCCTATATGTGAGACTTTTCTAAACCGGTCCAAACCCAATGAATCTCTTAAACCGGATCCAGTTTTGCAAAATATTGTGTACAGTGTAGTTCCAAATCTTTACTCGTTGGAACGGGAAAGAAAGAGTAGATTTTATGAGGGTGAAAAAATGCGCCAGACAATTTTGAGCTCACCCAACCCGAGCTTCGACGCAATTTTTGGCCCAGAATTTTCGGAGATACCACTTTTATCGCCAAATAAATCGACATTTAAACTTTCTTTGCATTACTTGATGAGCGATAAAAATGCATCTAGATCGGTTCCAGTATCCACGTTCAAAATTCCCCATCAAGTTACATTAGCAGATTTGGAGCAAATTTTACGAGTAAAATTTAAGCTTACCGACAAACATTTTTTGGAGTTTTACTACTCTTCCGAGTCAGATTGTGTGAAAAAGTATTTGAACACGGAGGAAATTTACAAAATTATGGAAAATAATGGACTGACTTCCGTTTTCAACCAGGAGCACGAAGCTGAAGACGTGAAGGAACTTGATATTTATTACAGAATTTACGCTATCAAACAGAAGAGGCAACAAAGGAGTCGGAGTCAGTCGGAGGAGGAGCCAGAGGCAAAGAAAAAAATATCGACAGGATCCAAATTGAAACCGGCTTCTGGGAATACAAAACTGAAATCATCTTCTCACTCAGTATCTACTAGCCCAAAAAGATTATCAAAATCAAACTCAAACACAAGCAAAAAACAAGCAGAAAATAAAAAGAAAATTGGGCCGAAAGAAGCCGATGAAGCGGGCTCCAGTGTTTCTTCTGTTAATAATGAGGCTGCGAAGTTTAGCATTAACAGCTTATTGTAAAATAATTTAAAAGTTTTATGGACGAACTACCCAGGTTAAAACGCTCGTTTCTGCCGCAAATAATTTCTATGTTTCAAAGACACTTGTCTAAGGAACCCAATACCAAATGATGCTACATATGCCGGCGAATGGTAGGGCGACTATTCGTAACAGGCGACAATTCGTAACAGGCGACAATTCGTAAAAAGGCATTGACTTCGCTCCGCTGCGCTTACATCCTGCACGAGAGGAATATTGAGTGTGAATCAGCGTTCCCCGCATATTCTACTGATACGAATTGCCGCTCGTTACGAATTGTCGCATCACGCCGGCCAATATTTTTTGGAACTCGAATAAAAATGTGTTTTGATTGTTCAAAGGAATTCCACACTTGGTCAGTAGATTTCTTCCCTAACTCTTCCCCCAGTTTGCTGTTTTAGGGCGATCACTGGATTCAACAGTCTGTTTATTTATTTCACGATTTGTCAATAGAGACTCTAACCCCAATTTTCATAAAGAAAACAACAATAAACTTGCGCAGTTCAAATTATTTCTTCTAAAGTGTATGAATTAATTTATATTTCTGTTCATTTAGACTTGTTTACGCATAAGCGAGTTAGCGTAATTAGTGTTTATTGGTCTGTTTTTTTTTCAGCATAGTCATTGATGGTGGTTTCATTCTCTTCTTTTTTGAAAATATAGAAGTCTTGTGCCCGTTTTTGCCAAGATTCGTTTTTTGTTGTGTAAAAATTATTTTAATTGTTGATGGATTTTGAATAAAGCAAGTAGTGTTCAAAAAATTTGAAAGCTGGGTTCTTACTTTGTTGAAGATATCGACACGCTGAGCTGAAATATAAATAGATAAGTACACATTTAAAACGCGATTTAGTTTCCAAAAGTTTTGAGTGTTCAAAAGCTGTCCAGGTGTAAAAATTAATGAATCAAATTTTTATGCGCGGTTTTTGCTTAAATGCATTAAATAGCCATTTTCTTGCTTATGTGCGCGGAATTTTCAACAATTTCTTAAAACTTTGTAAAAAAATTTTGCGTTGCTTAACATTTTTATCGAAGAGGAAAAATTGGCTGAACAGTTTTAAAGACTTCTAAGAGAAGGCAAGATCCAGCCGTTTTCTTATTTTCTACAACAATTCACAAAAATAATATTATGATTCATAGAAGCTCAATCTGCAACTTGAAACCAAGTTAGGGAACCATTTTGGAGAAACACGCTCACGATTCTTTTGCATACTCACGATTCATAAAAAAAATCACTCATATCATGATTCGTAAAAAACCAAACCAGGCAAAAATTTTGTTGTGGATCAGTGCAAGGCAAAAAATTTCTAAAGAAGATTTTATTGAGATCGATGTTAATGATAATTAACCTAAAATTTAGCTAGTATTTATAGTTATTATCAGTGGGAAAAGTATACATAAGAACAAAATATGTCATCTGGGATACAAAACATCTTTTTTCTTAACGTATTCCCATTTTCGATATTTTTTTTTATCAAAAAATACATTCGACAGATATAACATCGCATTCATGAATAGGATTGATTAGTATCATGAGAAACTATCAGAGTTGACACTTGTGACAGTTATATAAAATCAACTGATAATAGTTGACAAGAGACAGGAGTAATTAAAGAGTCAGGTTTGAACAACTTGGATACGCTTCTACAGATTGGGTATGTTTATATATTAGTTCTCTTTAAGTTTTATATAAAAAGTTTTAATCTTGATATTTTTTTAGATCACCACATCCTCCCTTCTTTTCTAAAAAGATCTGTCTGTATAGGATCTCCGTAGTTTTTCGTTGGTTTTGGGATTCTTGAAGATCTCTTGGGTTCGTCGGCGACCTGTTCGGATTGATCGTCGTCGGAATTTGGTGAAGGTTGTTCTTCGCCTTCATGTTTCATCGTCGACAATGTCGCTCATTTCATCTGTGGTATTGGTATCTTGACTACATCTCGCAATCTGGTTGTCGCTTACAAGAACATTTTATTCTGATTGATTGGGTTGGGTCCACGATCTGTTGGATCCACGTCGAATGATGAATGTTGCTGGTTGTGCTTCCGTGTCTTTGTTCGGCTTGAAGAGAATTTTTTCACCTACGTCAAAAAACTTTTATGGTGGGTAATTTGATTTGCTGTCCAAGGATAAGTTCTGTTGGTATTTTTTCTTTCGCTTTCAAAGGTTTTCTATGCGTCATTAGTACTGGTTGGAGAAACGCAAATAAATTGACTGATAAATTTTCCCCCTTGCTTTCACGGCATGTTTAATTGTCTGGACTGCTCTTTCTGCTAGTCCATTTGCTCTTTGAAGGTATATCGTCAATTCTATTTTGTGAACTCCCTGAAACTTGCTCTATGTTTTGAAATGGTTTCCTACAAATTCGGGTCCGTTGTCAAAGACTAAAGTTTCAATTTTGGTACTCCGAATTATGCAAGAACCGCTGACAAACATTTCTGGACAGTTAAAGTAGTTTTGTCATTGGTCGGGTATGCTTCGATTCAGCATCCTCTTGCATAGGTCACATCAAAGACCAAAGAGCCAATAGGTTTCCTTGGTCTCTGATGTGGGCCCAAACCAAAAAAAATTCGTTCCCATACGTCAGTTTGTAGCCAATTGGAAACTGTTTTTCCAAGCAATGGTCTGTTCTTTTGGCAGATCTCGCATCTTGAGACAAGTCGTTCCACGTCTTGTGACTTGCCAAACCACAAAGCAACCATTCTCAAATCCATTTCTTTTGCCTGTTTTCTTGGATGCGTCTGGTGGGCATCGTCTATAATTTGAACTCTGAATCTCGGCGGTGGTATGAAAGGTCCAACAACCCTGAAGATGACTCGTTCTCGTATTGTCAATGTTTCAGCTTCCTTCTTGAAGTGTGATTCAGCTTCTGAGGATTGTCTACCTTCACTGTTCTGTATCCATTTGAAAAATTCTTGAAAAGTTCGATTTGATTGGAGGTCGCTTTTGATGTCGTTCAGCTTGATTATCTGCTTGTCTGCGAAGCAGATGTCATTCTCAAAGAAACAGATTTTCCGGACTGGCAACCAAAACGCAGTCTGCTCAGAGTGTCCACATGTAAGATCCTAGCACATATTTTAACTTGTAGAAGAGTCCGATCAGAGCAATGGCCCATCTGGTTATTCTAGTGGATGCGCTCTTCTGTATCTCTCCGTCTGGCGCAAAGAGGTACTGCAAGGCTTTCTGATCTGTTTGAAGCTTGAAGTTGCGCCCCAGTAAAAACTGTTTCAGTCGTGTGACCACAATCGCGATTGACAATGCTGCTCGTCGTTCTACGTTGGAGTAGTTGCGCTCAGCTGTCGATCTCTTCCTTGAACCGTAGGTCACCGGATGTCTATCTTCTGAAAGATTCCCGCCGACTGCCTGCTCTAAAGCATCGGTGGTCACAGTCACTTCTTTGCCTTAGGGAGTAGGGTTGCACGACTGACTTTCAGCAGAGTTCTTGTTTGATAACCCGTAACTTCGTCCTGACTTCGTAAATCTTAGAGTGGGAGAATATTGATGTCAAAGTTCGGATTCATTCCTCCGTAAGAATTTGCCAGACCGGAAATTTTTTTTGGTTTTTTGTGGTTCGTGGGTATCTTGGTGCTCCGAGTCTTTTCAATAAGCCTATTATCAGGCTTGATTACACCAAATGAAGCTGATTCGCCTATAAACCAAACTGCGAGTGGTTTCGAGTTTGATTTGGTCTCATTGTTGGTGCAATTCTTTTTTTCTAAATCGCCCAATGACTGCCGTCATACGCTTTTCGAATATTCCATAGACAAGCAGAACATCTTGGAACATAAACATGCCACTAGTCCGAAATCCTTGTTTTATTGCACAGCTGCCAGGGGTACCTTTGAGTAGATTCGACCGTTCCATGTCAGCTCACAGAAAGTTGTTCCTTTGAAGTAGAGTTTGTGTTAATCGTACGATTCTAGAGTCCGAGCAGTTACATCAAGAGTAGGCCTTCTAAGCTTCTCGACGATATCACTGTGGTATCAGCGCCTGTGTCTACTTGCATTTTGACCTCATCATTTACGACACTTTTGCATTCGGCGGCGATGCCGATGAGACTTGAAGCAAAAAACATTTCTACCTTAGTGCCACAGCTCTCATAGTTTTCTAGCTCCCCCTCTGGAACTTGACCCCCATAAGCATAATTGCTTACTCTTTCATTAAATCTACTGTTACTGGTGTTGTTGTTGCTTAACTTACTTCGACACTTTATTGCAAATTATCCTATCTTACCACAAGAGTTACTTTTCTTACCTGTAGAAAGACAAGACTTACCCCCGTGCAGTCCCCCCCATCGCCGTTTTGACTTTCCAATTTTTTAACACTGTAAGTTTTATTTAACATTTCATGGTTTTCGGAAGGTTGACTTGGAATTGTATATAATTTTTTCTTTAATGTTAACCTTAGAGGTCCCAGCAAAACAGTTTGCATATCAGTAAGACCTATGCCTTTTTGAACTCTTTTAACAAGGTAACTTGAGCTGGGAGTCCGCTGGTCTATGACACGAGATTAACTTCATCGGTATCATCTCGTCTTCCGCGTCAGATGTGTTTTTTCAATTCTGAAAACATACAATACCGAACTGCTTCACGAAGTCTTAAAAGACACTCGTCATCAGCTTCTCATTGATTCTGAGATATCAATAGGAACTTTGCTCGTTTAGCAGAAACCACTTCTCTTCTGGGTCTGCAGTAGTTACGTATCAAAACGTAGATCTTATCGAATAACATCCCGCTGAGGTTGTTTGGCAAAACAGGACTCCGCACTTTCATAATTGCTTGCTGCACTCCAAATTGGCTGAAGAAAATGTCCGCACTTCAAAAGTCTGCGAAATTTGCTCCTTCTGCAACCTTGTCAGTTTTCTTCCCTGATCGTGCTCTCACACGGAAAAACAACCAATCAAGCCATTGCCTCCGTAAGCTTTGAAAGATCTAAGGAAACACTATGGTTCTTCATTTCAAGTTACCAGTCTTGACACCACTGTTGTGGATCAATACAAGGCAAAAAATTTGTTAAGAAGATTTTATTTAGATTGATGTTAATGATAAACTATCTAAAATTTAGTTGGTATTAATGTTTGTTATCAGTAAGAAAAGTTCACATAGAAACAAAATATATCAATAGGGTTAATATCTTTTTTGTTCACGTGTACTCACTTTTGGCGAACTCTTACGAAAAACATATTCAACATATATAGCATCGCATTCATGACTAGGACTGATAAAAACATAAGAATCTATCATAGTTGACACATTGTGACAGTTGGTTAAACTCAACTGATAATAAAGAGACACCATAATTATAGAGTCAATTTTGAACCAATTTGTTACGCTTCAACAGATTGCGCAATTCAGACTAAGAGGTTTAATTTTGATGATTTCTCAGATTATTGCAGAATTGTTTTAGAAGAAAGTTTGTCTAATCAGATAAAAACCTTGAGAAAAAATTCACTGCTTAGTGAAAAATTTTATGTCAACACGTACTCTAACCATCAGCAAAAAAAATGATTGATATCAATGAAAATGATTTGATTTCAATGATTTGAATCATATATGAAACACTTGGAGAGTTTTCTCGAGATGAATTTCAATTTGATTGAAATTTGCTCAAATTTGAGAAAAACACGTGTTGCTGCAATTAAACTGACAAACAATGACAAATAGACAATTGTTCGTCAATTTTTTATTCAAAAAATGATTGGAAAATTTTTTGATGAACTATTGGTGGCCTAGAAATTAATTGAAAAGATTTCAAATGACAAAGAGACCAAATGACGGATGATTAATTCAACCAATCTTAACTGATGTTTCAAAAGTCTCAGAGAAATCATAAAAATCTCAGAGTCAGCAAGCAATTCGAGTTTATTTGAACTGAAGTAGATTGATTGCGAAATCAGCAATCAAGTAAAGAGCAGATCGAAATCGCATTTGAAAATACTCTTTATATCAAAACTACCAACAGAGTCGCAAAATGGAAAAACCAGAAACAAAAAAAATAGTAACTGCCTTAATTGCACGGTATACTTTTGCTGTACCGCCATCACTCAATTTCTGCTTTTGATTGGCGTAAAATTTTTGACATCAATTCTAAGCAAAACCATTCAGCTTCTAGAAAAAGATTGGTTGAAAATTTTCAGCCATGAGAACAGCTTCTCACAAACTATTGAGCAAACAATATTTTTCATGTTCCAAAAATTTCATATGAATCTTACTGAAAAAATTATAAAATTCAGAAGTTGTTTTCTGCGAATAAGCTAGAGATATGGCAGAAAATTTTAACCCATATTCACAAATACAACCCAGCATACAACTTTAAACTACAAAACAATTTTGTTTCATGATTTGATAAAAACTCATTGAAAATTAACTGCATGAAAATTACAAATGTATTTTTTTTTCAATTTGTTTTGTAAAATGAGCTTTTTGGCATTCTTTTTATCACAAATTTTTTTTGAAACTAGGCTAAAACTTTTTTATACCATGAAAATGAATGATAAATTTTTTCAGTATTGAAATTTTATGCTAAACATATTTTCCGAAAATGGAAGTACAAAAATTTTCTGAGTTGCGTAATCTATGACAAGCATTTTTTTGTACGAACTTCAACCCGCGATTTTGTATATACTTCTTCCTATGCCGAAGCCAACGACCAATTTATTCCTTATTTTCGAACCAGTAGCTACACTATCTAATCAAAAAAACTCATACAGGCATTTTTTCTTAAAGTGTCTGTTGAAAAACCGTTTTTTAGATAAGATGTCACCAAAATATTATTAGTCTTATTTAGTAATTAAACAAAATAGTGAGTCCGTAATGTTTCACGTTTTTGTGCGTTTTTGTTGAATTTATTCAGTTAAATCAAAAACTTGGCTAAAAGCATCACGTATAGTTTAAAATTGTTGGCTTACAACAACACGGTTGGACCGTCGGAAAAAAGCCAACACGCTGAAAGTGAACCGACATACTACCTGCAGTGCTTACAATGCTTATCTTAAAGACCCTATCTTCTCTGGGCTTTCTAGATGTGGAGGAAATTCAAAATTTAGAGGAAAAGATGAAAAACTCTTGTTCAGAGATGTAAAAAAAAGGAGACAGAAAACGATCTATCAAGTTACTACAGTCGAATTACAACGGTTACAGTACCAAAACATTCTTTTTGAGAAAAACGGTTTTTTGAACAGATCCGCGGCTCTCAAACTAACTTTGGGCGAGAGAAACAGTACTTTTCGGGAAAAAAAATGCCGTTTTTGGGCTAAAATCCAAGTTTTATGCAGTCTGTTTTTTTCTCAGACGAATTCCGGTTTGCCCTGAAGACAGAGGGCCGTATTCGAGTTTGACGCCAACGTGATGAACGTTATAAGCCACAATGTATTGTTTTGAAGAAATCTTCTCGTTTTTCTGTTATGTATTGGGGGTTCATTACACCTGACGGTAGTTTTGGAATAGTAAAATGTCCCCTGCCAAACAACGCTAAAGCTTATAGGGACGTACTTGAACAAAGTTTGATCAAGGATTATGCAAAATTTGGCTAGAAGCTCATGGAAGACAATTGCCCTGATCGTAGAGTAGAATTCATAAGAGATTATTTAGGCAAAAATCATGTTCAGACAATGGAATGGCGGCCATGCAGCCCTGATTTATACATCATAGAGTGTGTGGGCATTGATGAAGAAACGAATGACTGGAAAGACCCTAACCAAAAGAAACTTAAAAGAAAGCAACGAAAACGCTAGAAAATTCATCTCTTCTGATTTTGTGAAGAAACTGTATAAATTTATCCCTACCAGAGTAAATTTATTAACAAAATCGAGAGGTGCTGCTGTTGGTTATTAGTTCACTTCTCGGTAAAGTAAATCTGATTTTTTTTGTCAAGTTCCAGTTTTTTGAAGAAAAAAAAACGTGAAATTTTAGTCTGTATGAATCTTTTTGGCAATATAGTGTAATAAACAAAAAATTGGTCACTTTTAGACTCAATCTTGTTTTCACGGCATCAATCTTAGTTTTATTTTCAAGCTCAAGTTTTTTTCTCAGTTTTGTGATAAAGCTTTAAAAGATAATAATGACAAAAAGTGTGAAAGTTAAAAGAAAATGAGCAAAAACAATGTAGCTTTTATTTGTTTTTCATTCTAGTTGCATGCGAAAAATCTGCAGTTCAATGTTTGATAAAATGTTTAAAAATCAATGCACAAACCGACCGAAAAGATATAGTCGAATAAAAATTAAACCTTGATAAGAGCGCGGCCATATAATTCAGATCTACTGAGCTTTCTGAACCGAAGCTTCAAGCTTTCTGTGACTCGCCGAACTATTTGTTGACCCATTTTATATATTAAAGAATATAAATTAAATTTGCAATCAATATCAGAATTTCTTTATATTTGCATATTTTTAAATTTTATCTGAAAAGTTTTCATTCAATTTGATAAACTCTACTGTTTGATTTCACATCAGGACACCTTCTTTTTAGTCGACACTTGCATTTAAATTACATTAGATATCTGTGCCATCCTAGTTCTACCAATCAGCCTCGGATGTCTTCTGTATACAGTGAAGAGGAGAAGAGTTATGGGCTGAGTAGGGCGAGGCTGGTGGAGTTCAAGGAGGCGTTCGACTACTTCGATGAGGACTACACCTCTCTCCTCCCAGTGGACAGACTGCAGCACCACCTGAAACAGATGGGCTACAACGCCACAGACATGGAATTGGACAAGTTCGAGGTCGATGTGAGTAAGCAGACCAAATTACTGTCTGGTGAATTCCAAAAGGTGTTTAATTTGTCAACTTCATTATGGTTGTACATGGTTTCTAGCATTCATCTGCTGTGACGTAGACGTGAAGAAAATTTGGTAAACTCAAAAGAAAACCATCGAAAGCTGTTGAATCTTCCAGTACTTGGGAGTTTATATTAGTAGTAAACTTATTTTTGAAAATCACGTCAAAAGTTAAAAAAAACATTAGCAAAAATGAATGTCCTCAAATTTAAAAGAACTAATATTTTTCTTTCCCAAAATGCTTATTGTTCCGACTTTCTCGAAGAAAGTGCGGAATATTTATGGTGTTTTTTTTTCAGTTAAATTTTAACAAAGCGTTTTTGACAATTTTTGTACCATCTGAAACATATTATTGCGCTGAGACCACATTCAAAAAAATTCTTACTCGTGACTTTTTTTCGTTAAGTTGCGGGGGTTTGAAAGTTGCTATTTTGGCTAATTTGGAATTATTATGATGCGATATATTGCGTTCTTTCTGTAAAACGAGTAAGCGGCAGATTAACGCGTTCCACATTGAAATGTATTTTATATAAGCGAGTCGGGGGATAACTAGAAGAAAAAAACATGGAACAATTTATGTTTTCAATTAGTTTAACAATATTTTGATCACAAAATTTTAAATTTGGCCTTAAAATGCAGTCGCAATTCTAAGCTTATCTTTCTGATATATGAGCAATCTTGTTGAATTTTATAGTGCGCATGAAAATTATTGATTGGACACGGTCAAATCTAAGCCTGGCCAAACTTAAACAAGACTGCTCGTATCAGGGCGAAGTCCTGAATGTTCCGACTGCGTTTTAAGGTTTATGGAGCATTAATAACATAAATATCATTAACAAATTTAATTTAAAAAAATGATTTTTTTTTTAATTTGAAATTTTTTCAATAAAAATCATCACCCGACACGCCATATAAACTATAAAAGAAGAGATTTCGCTCCTTTTAACAAATCAATTATGGCAAATAAGCTTCTTTCAACCAATTTGGAAAGATTTCTAAGACGGATTACATCTCTGCTTACGCGTTAATAGCGCGAAATATATCGCGCGTTAATTGTCTCAAATTTGCCAAAATGGCAATCTCTAAACCTCCATAGCTTTACAAAAAACGATCACAGGTAAATTATCTTTTCAAATTTAAGCTCAGGCCAACAATAATTTTTGAATGATATGAAAAAATTCCGTCAAAAATGGCTAACTAAAAAGTCGAAGTTTGTCTGAAGAAAAAAAACCACCCCGAGCACAAATATTTCGTTATTTTTGTATCGAAAGTCGGAACAATAAATGTCTAGAACAAATTTTGAAGTTATTTTTCTTGTTTAAATAGAACGAAATATTCCGACTACTTTCATCAGAAACACACTTTTTTTCAAATTGGTGTCGTTTTTTCTGTGTGGTTTGATAAAAAGAACTGAATGAAAAAAAGCTCAGGCATATTTGACAGTCATAGTAAAATAGATCAATTTAAAAAAGTGTTTGCAGAAAACAACTGGAAAAGAAAGTTAAAAAAACGCAAGCAAAATTGTGTCTTTTCATTTTTTTGCAGAAACTGTGGCTTTTGAAGTTTTTGAGTACCAAAATGTCGCTGAAAAAAACTCCAAAAACTAAGATTACTCGTCTAAAACTAAAATTTTGCTGCTTGGTTTGAGCATAAATAAACTATTTTATGCTGCACGCTCACCTTATTAGCTCAAAATTAGACCACAAAAGAAAAATTTCGATTATGTTTTTCTCGACACAAAGAAATTTTCCGCAAAGTTTGTTAAAATCGCTCAAACCACGACTGAAAGAGTATCATCATGATATACCACTCGGCTCAATCCGATGATTATTTCTGGTAACTGATTTTGCGAGGAAAACAAAAAAAACTGAAACACACCCAAATACAAAGTTTCTCCCCGTTTTTCAAATGGTCTCAACGATAGTGTACGAGTTGTTGGCAAATGTTCACCAAATTGTCATTTCTTGAAGTTAAATTTACTTCCGAGTAACGTAAATTACATCAAATTTGTGTGACAATTGCATAACAACCAGTACAATCTGTTGTTATATATCATAACAATATCAGTTTGTGGAATGGTTATTTTTGATTCGGATTGTTGGCTTTACGGCTTGTTGGCCTAGCACCACTTTTTGTTTTTCATCTGCAATTTCCAAACGTTAGCTCTAGTGCAAAGAAAGTCTCTTAAACTGACTAATTGTTTAATAGATTCACATTAAATTGCTCCCCCATAAATAATAAAATTTCTCTGATATCGCAAATTTAAAGAAGTTCGTAAAAAAATACAACCGATGTGTTTTTAGCCGAGAACGCGAACTGATTGTGTATCCAGACGATAAAGCAGAACTAAGTTAATCCAGAAAAAATTCAAGCTCCGTCCATAAACCGCCGTTCCGGTTGGGGCAAGCAGGCTATGTTGTAAGCTAATATGCGAATATCCGATGAAAACACCAAAAAAACAACAAAAATGTGATCTAACTTAACTAATAGAAAGGCAACACAGGTAACTACTACTTAGTGTTTTTTTTCGGATTGTTGTCCCAGGAAAAGAGCGTTCTGGATGTTAGCTGTAGCGGATTTAGGGGAGAGGGGTGGACACCCCTTTCTCATAAATTCGCTTTTTTGGCCTGTTTTCTCATACATTCGCTTTTTTGGCCTGTTTTTTTCTAACCTTCGTTTTTTTGTATTGTTTTTTCAAACCTTCGCCTACGGTGCAAAAACTTTGCCCAAAATAAAGGCTGTATAGTGATTTGCGATACTTCAAAAAATGAATTTGGTAGAATTAAAAATAGTTGACAAAATTTTCATATTTTATTTTGCAAAAAATATATGCCATCCCATCTTGAAAAAATCGTTTATCCGCCTTTTCCCCCAGGGGCGGATCTAGAATTTTCTCGTGGAGTGGGTGATTTTCCATTAAAAAATGTAACATTTTGTTGACCTTTTTCGAAAAAAAATACAAAATTTTGAAAAAACAGGCAAAGAAGACTTTTTGAGCATTTTTTGGTAAATTTTCACCAAAAAATCGCGTTTTATCTGGCGCGCGCTCCTCAAAATTAGTATAAATTGGCGCAGAAGGGTCCGCCACCAAAAATGGATATCTCAAAACAGAACAAAGGGGGACCCTTTGGGTCGGCAGGGGGTCTAATTCTCAAGAAGGCCTCCTCCCTCCCCCCCCCCCCTATATCCGCCCCTGCTTCTCCCTCAGGCATTCGACCGACCCCCTCACCAACTAAAGCGCCCCCCTATTTTTGGCTGATTAACCCGAAAGTTTTCTAAAGGCGCCTATGGCGCCAATATATACCAATTTTAAAGGAGAGCACGCGCCGAAAAAACGCAATTTTTTCGGTCAAAACTTTCCTTGGCCGGTTGTTTCAAAATTTTGGTTTTGATGGTAGTCTGAGAGCGCTCGGAAAATCATTTTGGTCGACATAAAAAAGGGTCGATAAAATGTTCGAATTTTATTTGAAAATCCCCCCCCCCCCCCCCCCCCCCTCGAGAAAATCCTAGATTCGCCCCTGTATGAGGATATTAACTTCGCGTAGATAACACAAGAAGAAAAATTGCAACAAAAATTATCACCAACTTCACAGCAACCAAGTTGAAAAAAAATCATGTAAGTATTTCTAGGTGGATCCAGATGACACTGGTGTGTATGACTTTGATGCGTTTATGCGGATGGTGGCTTACATCCTGAGGACAGGCGAAGACATTGAGGAGGACTTGGAACAGGTAAGAGGCTATTGATAGTAAAGTGAAGTGCGGCATCAGAACAGAAACCGGTTCCCTGTACCAGGCAAGGATCTGCGTAGAAACCTTGGAAAGAGTTTATTCATTTTAGGTTTTCCGGTTATTTGACACCGACAACTCTGGAACAGTTTCAACGGAAGAGATGAAGAAAGTGTTCAAAGAAGTGGATCCCAAAATAAGCAAGAAAGAACTGGATGAACTGATCGCAGAGGCAGATCCAGACAACTCTGGAAAAATAGACTTGGCAGAGTTCAAACACATGATGATGATGCCAGAGGATGATTAGCTCTGCAGGGGTCACAAGAATTCAACCAACTGGAGTTAATCCAAACAAACACTATTTTGGCAGATATAATCTACAACTTTCATCCTTTTGTACAGATTTAGGTGAAAACCAATTGAGTAGGATGCAAGAGAACCGGAGTTGTATTTATACATAACTAAACGGGTCGAGGTCCGCGACTCATTTTTTGACGGCCGCGATCAATTTTTCGACTATGCCGCGACTAATTTTTCCACCTCCGCGACTAACTTTTCGACCATCGCGACTAATTTTTCGACTACCGCGACTAATTTTTCTTCGACCGCCGCGACTTATTTTTGGACCGCCGCGACTAATTTTTGGACCACCGCGACTAATTGTTGGACTGCCGCGACTGACTAATATTGTTGGACTGCCGCGACTAATTTTTGGACCGCCGCGACTAATTTTTGGACCGCCGCGACTAATTTTTGGACCGCCGCGACTTATTTTTGGACCGCCGCGACTTATTTTTGGACCGCCGCGACTTATTTTTGGACCGCCGCGACTTATTTTTGGACCGCCGCGACTTATTTTTGGACCGCCGCGACTTATTTTTGGACCACCGCGACTAATTGTTGGACTTCCCCGACTGATTAATATTGTTGGACCGCCGCGACTATTTTTGGACCACTGCGACTAATTGTCGGACTGCCGCGACTGACTAATTTTGTTGGACCGCCGCGGCTAATTTTTGGACCACCGCGACTAATTGTTGGACTGCCGCGACTGACTAATATTGTTGGACTGCCGCGACTAATTTTTGGACCGCCGCGACTAATTTTTGGACCGCCGCGACTGACTAATATTGTTGGACTGCCGCGACTAATTTTTGGACCGCCGCGACTTATTTTTGGACCGCCGCGACTAATTTTTGGACCGCCGCGACTTATTTTTGGACCGCCGCGACTTATTTTTGGACCGCCGTGACTTATTTTTGGACCACCGCGACTTATTTTTGGACCGCCGCGACTTATTTTTGGACCACCGCGACTTATTTTTGGACCACCGCGACTAATTGTTGGACTGCCGCGACTGACTAATATTGTTGGACCGCCGCGACTATTTTTGGACCACCGCGACTAATTGTTGGATGCCGCGACTGACTAATTTTGTTGGACCGCCGCGGCTAATTTTTGGACCACCGCGACTAATTGTTGGACTGCCGCGACTGACTAATATTGTTGGACTGCCGCGACTAATTTTTGGACCGCCGCGACTAATTTTTGGACCGCCGCGACTAATTTTTGGACCGCCGCGACTAATTTTTGGACCGCCGCGACTTATTTTTGGACCGCCGCGACTTATTTTTGGACCGCCGCGACTTATTTTTGGACCGCCGCGACTTATTTTTGGACCGCCGCGACTTATTTTTGGACCACCGCGACTAATTGTTGGACTTCCCCGACTGATTAATATTGTTGGACCGCCGCGACTATTTTTGGACCACTGCGACTAATTGTCGGACTGCCACGACTGACTAATTTTGTTGGACCGCCGCGGCTAATTTTTGGACCACCGCGACTAATTGTTGGACTGCCGCGACTGACTAATATTGTTGGACTGCCGCGACTAATTTTTGGACCGCCGCGACTAATTTTTGGACCGCCGCGACTGACTAATATTGTTGGACTGCCGCGACTAATTTTTGGACCGCCGCGACTTATTTTTGGACCGCCGCGACTAATTTTTGGACCGCCGCGACTTATTTTTGGACCGCCGCGACTTATTTTTGGACCGCCGTGACTTATTTTTGGACCGCCGCGACTTATTTTTGGACCGCCGCGACTTATTTTTGGACCGCCGCGACTTATTTTTGGACCACCGCGACTAATTGTTGGACTGCCGCGACTGACTAATATTGTTGGACCGCCGCGACTATTTTTGGACCACCGCGACTAATTGTTGGATGCCGCGACTGACTAATTTTGTTGGACCGCCGCGGCTAATTTTTGGACCACCGCGACTAATTGTTGGACTGCCGCGACTGACTAATATTGTTGGACTGCCGCGACTAATTTTTGGACCGCCGCGACTAATTTTTGGACCGCCGCGACTAATTTTTGGACCGCCGCGACTAATTTTTGGACTGCCGCGACTTATTTTTGGACCGCCGCGACTTATTTTTGGACCGCCGCGACTTATTTTTGGACCGCCGCGACTAATTTTTGGACCACCGCGACTAATTGTTGGACTGCCTCGACTGACTAATACTGTTGGACCGCCGCGACTATTTTTGGACCACCGCGACTAATTGTTGGACTGCCGCGACTGACTAATATTGTTGGACCGCCGCGGCTAATTTTTGGACCACCGCGACTAATTGTTGGACTGCCGCGACTGAATAATATTGTTGGACTGCCGCGACTAATTTTTGGACCGCCGCGACTAATTTTTGGACCGCCGCGACTAATTTTTGGACCGCCGCGACTAATTTTTGGACCGCCGCGACTAATTTTTGGACGGCCGCGACTAGTTTTTGGACCGCCGCGACTAGTTTTTCGACCATGATGCGTCTAATTTTTTGACCGCCGCGACTAACTTTCATTCGGTCTTACCGGTCGCGATTAACATTCCTTAGTCGCGACGGTCGCGATTAACTTTCCTTCGGTCGCGACGGTCGCGGACATATTGCATTGGTCCGCAAAGTCTAGCAACACCAAATTTTGGTCGCGGCGGTCTGAAAATGTCCATTTTTTGTCGTGGCAGTCTGGAAATACCAAAATTTGGTCGCGACCGTCTGATCACAAAACCACAACCTCGACCCGGGTAGCAGAGAGGCAGAGGCGAGTGCTCGTTTTGCTAGCAAGCTACCTTCAGTAGAATTAAATTATATCAGGTAGTTTTCAGCTTATTAACTTGCTCTCAATTATTGTTTTTCATTAATTACATTTCCATGTTTTTGAACTCTTGATATGCCGCAGGACTTAAGTAAAAATAACATAAAACTATAGGTATCCTGGACTACTATTACTCAATAGAAATAAATTTTTTGGCCATGTCTGGTTAACCCCTCAACTTAGCAACTAAAAATATTGCCCCTAACTGGGGTTTCACTTGATCAATTGATACGTTATGCTTTATAGTTGTCGATTTGATAGATCAAAAATGAGAGACTGAGAAAAATGCTTCCGTGTTTGGAAAACAAGTGCTAAGGATATGAAGCTCAAGATTTATTCCAATTTCAGTTCAGTAGAAAGTTATATTAAGATTGATTTTAGGGGAAATATTTTAGACGATATTCCGCACACGATGGGTATTCGTCAGAATACAAAAAAAAACTTTTATTTGGTGCGGCCAATTAGGAGGAGAATAACAGCAAACGATTCCTCACAAAGATAACACAAGAGAGATTTATAACTATGCATTTTTCTGTGAGTCGTCTTTCGGTTCTTCTGAATTCATAGATTACAGCAGGATGTTGTTCTGACTTTTGAGACCGAATACTTGTGCTCAGGTGAATTTTTTCACCGGGCTTGGACTTTTAAATTTTGTCTTAAAAGGTAAAACAATACCGACTTCTTAACTAGCTGTTTTGACTATTTTAAATTGTCTGAAATCTATTGATGATCTGAGCACAAAATTAAACAAGACTGCTCGTATCAGGGCGAAGCCCTGAATGTTCCGACTGCCTTTTAAGGTTTATGGAGCAGTAATAACATTAAAAAATTAAACGTAATAAAATAAAATGAAATTTTTTTTTCTAAAATTTGAAATTTTTTATGAAAATCATCCCCCACACGCCATATAAAGTACAAAAATATAGATTTCGCTCCTTGATGCAAATCAATTATGGCAAATAAGCTTCTTTCAACCAATTTGGAACGATTTCTAAGACGGATTAACTCTCCGATTACGCGTTAATAGCGCGAAATATATCGCGCGTTAATTGTCCCAAATTGGCCAAAATGGCAATCTTTAAACCCTCATAACTTTACGAAAAATGATCACAGGTAAAATATCTTTTCAAATTTGAGCTCAAGACAACAATGGCTTTCCAATGATATAAAAAAATTCCGTCAAAAATGGCTAGTTAAAAAGTCGAAATTTGTCTGAAGAAAAAAAAAAACCCACCCCGAGCACAAATATTCCGTTACTTTCGTATCGAAAGTCGGAACAAATATATTTCATTTTTTCATATAGTTATGGGTGTTTAAAAATAATCATTATTATGAATTTGGGATAAATACCGCTCTACACATTTCGTAGTATTAAAACGTAAACGGCGATTTAATCCGGCTCAGAAATGGTTTCATACTGATTTGAGGAGAGCATTTTGCTCTAAATTATACGTTACCAGACTCTAATCATATCACTTCGTTTTTTACAGAGCGTGTTTGGAGATACAAAAAAAAGAAAAAAGTAAATTTTATTCCGATTAGTTTATCAATTTTTGAACAAAGCTTTCAAGTGTTTTTCAACGGCAGCTGAAATTCTAAAAGCTACACAGGGCTACGATTTCAGATTTTCTATTGGAGATAAATTTTGTTTTTTTTTCCAAACAAAACGTTGATGAAACTATAACTTTTCACTTTTATTGCTTTTTACAACATGGTTTCTTATTGTTTTCCCTTAGAGATTTAATGTCGATGCTTTCTGTAATTGTATTTGAAGTTGTCGCACTAGTTCTGCTGAAAGTCGGCTTCCGTGTCGTGACAAACGTGAATGACATTCTGATCAGCTCTCGGAAAGCTTCCGTTACGCCGACGTCGTCTTTTGCCGACGTCTGGTAGAAGCCGTCAAAAGGGGCGATTCCCTGGAACTCTGCCTGCCAGTTCCTCTCGGGGACATATCTGTCAATTTGGGTCATTGTGAGTACACAGGGGACATCTGGACCCGCGAAGTCTGTCACCATGTTTCTCCAATCCACTACGTTGTGAAAGTAGTCCTCCTAAAATAACCTGAGGCCGTCATTTTTTAAGCAGATTTTTGAAATTAATTGAGCGCTTGAAACTAAAACTTCGGTTTATCCTTCATATGCTGACTAGTAAATTGACTACACGTGTCAAAGCTACTTCGATGACAGCTGTAGCTTCATTAAGTTTAGTGATAACTAATCTGTTCAATGAGTTTTGAATAGCATGCCGCAAATTAATTTCACAATCGTAAATGATTGAATGACCTTTTCGCTCACCTGAGACGCGTTGCAGCATATCATGACGGCGTCACTGCGCCTGAAAAACTGAGTTGTTACGTTCTGGTGAGTGCGGTAGCTGCCGGCGATATCCCAGATCTGGATCGGGTACTCCACCCCATCCATTTTGGCACTAGATGTGTGAAACTCAGCTCCCACTGTCGCTTTCACTAATTCGCTGAATTCACCTGAGAAACGAAAAACAGATAAGGCATTCAAAATGAGTTGCCTTCACTGTCTAAAAGCTTATTTTATAAGAAAAACCCGATCATTGAAATTCGATCTTAAAAAACATTTTTGTAAATGTTGCTTTTCGAGCAGCTTTGATGCTATTAAAGGAAGAAAAGAGACCAATGAGCTTGTGAGTACACAGGGGAGTTCACTTGGGAGCTTGTGAGTTCACTTCTGTTTTCTTTACTTTTCCTGTGTTCTACTTTTCCTTCCCTATCATCCACTTCAACATCCACTTCAACTTTTTCGCTGATTCTCAAATTGACTTGCGGAAAAAAACTTTATGTACACATTCTAGAAAAAGAACTAGAGTTACAGTGAGCTTAGTTTGATTTAACTAGTGAGTCGACAATTCGTGAGAGACGACAATCCGTAACAGGCGACAATTCGTGACAGTAGATTAAGCGGGTAACACTGATTCACGCGCAGTATTCCTCTCGTGCCGGATGTAAGCGCAGGGGAGCGAAGCGGAGAAAACGTTTTCTAATTGCCAATGCCTTGTTACGAATTTTCGCCTATTACGAATCGTCGCTTGTTACGAATTGTCGCCCGTCACGAATTGTTGCCCTACCAAATTAACTGAGAAACAAGTATTGGAAAAATGTCTTCCTTTTTTGACTTTTTTGCAATGAGTGTTTGACAATATAACGTCTACTTAAGTTCCTTGTTTTAGGCAAAAAATTACTAACATTCAATTCTGACTGTAAAAATGAGATGAAATTTTAATTTGAAATGTGTTTTTCAAAGGTTAGATGGATTTGTATGGTATATCATATAGCAACCCTTTACTTCTGATTCTATCCATATTTGTGAAAATTAGTTCAAAAAAGCTTCAAAAACCGGTTTGAAGTCGGTTTGAAACATTGGTTTCAATTCTCAGCGTAGTTTGAGAAATTGATTTGAAAATGGGATAAAAAACTTGATCCTTTTCCGCTATGTTTTGCACTAAAACACATTTTTTAAAAACTTATTTAGGTTAACCAGTTTACCCCTGAAACCTCTCTCTCTTCTCTTTATAACAACAACTTCAACTGCCTGGGTTTTACAAAAAATTATAAACAAACACGGCTGGTCAAATGGAATTTCAAGATACAGAGGCGAGGATCAGCTAAGCATAACTTCCGATTCAACACAGACATAAAAAACATAAATCGAAAAAAATGAAAAATGATGAAAAAAACTAAGTCAACCAGAATTTCCGATAAGCCAACTATGGCCTCAGCTAAAGCTAGCAAAACGTGCTGGTTAATTTTTGAATTTGTTATGGTGATGCTGGATGAAATACGTACCTTCAAAAATTTAACTTTACGTAATACCTTAATTAAACCTCGGTTTATCAACGTTTTGTATTGACTTCATTTTGGGGCTTTTTTTCCTTTTTCCCCCCACCTGCAAATTTTCACCTGTAAATTTGTTGACTACATTTTCCGATTGCTATGAAAATTTACATACAGAATAATAAGGCCACAACAAACATATTTGGTCTTCATACTCAACCTCGTAAAATCACTAGTTACACTAATTCATTGAAGGTCGTGTGAGGTGGGGGGAAAAGGAAAAAGAGCCCATTTTGGCTATCATAAAAACACTAACTTAAAAGTTAAAAGCATGGGTTTGCTTACATTGATTGTGACCATTCTACTTTTATTTTAATTGAATTTCAATCGGTTATCTACACAGTTGATACATATTACTCGCCCTTCAAGGCCTCTAGATTACACCATCAGCGAACGCGGCTATCAGCAATGTCTCCAGGAAGGAGAAAAAGAATACCAAGTTCGACATAGCGATGTTAATGACCAGACAACTTGGCGATGCTTTTAACGTCCCTGCAAATTGTTCATTTAATTTTTCGATGACTCACTTCTTAGTGAAAAGAAAAAACATGGCCACGAAAACATTCCACATGAGCCAAAAATCAATTCGTAAGCGTTTGATACTTACATGTTCATGTACCGGAATGAAAAAAAGTTCAACTTGGGATTGAATAGAGCTAAAACAAGCATGAAAAGAGGACGTGCCTTTCTGTGAGGTATAGGGGATTTTTTTCTGCTAAAGCGAAACTACGGTTAAGCAAATTTTTTCTAAGCGAGCCGGTTCTTTTCTGGGGGTATTCGAAGCTTAACCCAAATGCTGAAAACAGTTTTTAAGTACGAAACATGCTAGCAAAGAGAAAACCAAAGACATTTTGTAATCCCCAGGAGCCATTTGTGCAGAGTTTACTGGGAACGTTTCAAAGGAGACGGTTGCGAATTTATCAAAATATGGATAAAAAGCCAGTAAGGTTTAGCGACAAAGATTCATCGATTCAGCGCCAGCTACTCCAAAAGACATTGCGATACCTTTTCAGATGATTTTTTCAGTCAGGGGATACTTTTTCTAGTCCATGACTCAAGGCCTGATGATGCTGATCGTATGTTGATTCTTTCCACAGAAGAAAAATTAGATGTGTCGGAGAGTAACACAACTTGGCATGCTGATGGAGCTTTTAAATCATGCTGGAATATTGTGAAAAGATATGAGGTGGTCTAATTTCTGGCACAAAACGCCAGTCTACTTCCTTCCCCCGGAGTGCGGTCTGTATTTAGACAACCGCGTATTCAGGCACTACGGAGTCATGTCAGTGTCGCCTGCTACGAGTCATCGCTTGTTACAAACTGTCACCCAGCCATGGGTTGGTATTGAGACCAAACGCTCGTGGTTGCAGGATGCGACACATAGTTCGATTTGCTAGATAGTTCGATTAATTATGTAAATCCTTAAAAAACACTAAAACCTCATTAAAAACAACAAGACTGCTCGTATCAGGGCGAAGCCCTGAATGTTCCGACTGCCCATTAAGGTCTATGGAGCAGTAATATCATTAAAAAATTAAAAGTAATAAAACAAAATGAAAATTTTTTTTTTCAAAAATTTGAAGTTTTTTTAAATAAAAATCATCCCCCCACACGCCATATAAAATACAAAAGTATAGATTTCGCTACTTGTAACAAATCAATTATGGCAAATAAGCTTCGTTAAACCAATTTGGAACGATTTCTAAGACGGATTAACTCTCCGCTTACGCGTTAATAGCGCGAAATAGATCGCGCGTTATTTGTCCCAAATTGGCCAAAATGGCAATCTTTAAACCCTCATAACTTTACGAAAAATGATCACAGGTAAAATATCTTTTCAAATTTGAGCTCAAGACAACAATGGCTTTCGAATGATATAAAAAAATTCCGTCAAAAATGGCTAGTTAAAAAGTCGAAATTTGTCTGAAGAAAAAAAAAACCCACCCCGAGCACAAATATTCCGTTACTTTCGTATCGAAAGTCGGAACAAATATATTTCATTTTTTCATATAGTTATGGGTGTTTAAAAATAATCATTATTATGAATTTGGGATAAATACCGCTCTACACATTTCGTAGTATTAAAACGTAAACGGCGATTTAATCCGGCTCAGAAATGGTTTCATACTGATTTGAGGAGAGCATTTTGCTCTAAATTATACGTTACCAGACTCTAATCATATCACTTCGTTTTTTACAGAGCGTGTTTGGAGATACAAAAAAAAGAAAAAAGTAAATTTTATTCCGATTAGTTTATCAATTTTTGAACAAAGCTTTCAAGTGTTTTTCAACGGCAGCTGAAATTCTAAAAGCTACACAGGGCTACGATTTCAGATTTTCTATTGGAGATAAATTTTGTTTTTTTGATATAAAAAAATTCTAGTTAAAAAGTATGAATTCTAGTCAGAGAAAAATTTGTCTGAAGAAAAAAAAAACCCACCCCGAGCACAAATATTCCGTTACTTTCGTATCGAAAGTCGGAACAACTAGTGTGAAACAATTGGAGCTGGGTTTGTATATGCCGGATACTGTAGACCAGCTTGTCAAATGAAACAAAAATTAAAGCAAAAATTTGTTTTTCAAACTCATCGCTTAACATTCAACAAATGACTGCTATAGACGCAATTTTTTTTGTTCAACTGCTTTGTTTCTTGTTCAACTTATGATTGCTAACTAAATTTCTTTGCTTAGATTAGACTGGCAGCAAAGGCGTCTCAGTACTTTTTATATATTTTAAGTTCAAAACGCTTCTAAACTTAAAAACACTTAATGAGAGGTCACCGACAGTAGGCTCAACGACATTCATGGTTTGCCTACTCGAGTCTTGGTTGTTTTGATACATTTAGCCAGCAAGTGGAACAAAGTTGCGGGCCGTGTAACATTTTTCATCTTTTTCAAATTTAACCAGAAAATTTCTTTTTAAAAATTTGTAACTAATTTGACGATTTCTCTTAGCAATGACTCATAGTGCCGCCTTTCACGATCGTGGCTGTTAAAATATCCAAAAAACTGCTTGGACCAGTTATTCTCAAAATTTGAGCCTTTTTCTGAACCAAAACTAAACTGGTTTATTTTGAGCAACACGCTCAATTTCCAGCTTTTTCTCAAGTGTCCTCAATAGAGCTCAGAAAACTCACCAGAGTAGCTCCTTTTTATATAGAAGAACTTCGGTTTGTTATTTAATGAGGTTACATCATGCTAATTTAAAAAAAACATTCAGTTGGTTACCAGCCTTTTCAAATGTCATTTAAAAAAATCTTAGAGAAAACATTTTGCAAGCGAGAAACAGATAAAACAAACCATTACTCGAAAAACAAGATTACACGGTTGCTGTGCAAGTAGCACAGAAAAATACGTCCAAATTAATGACCAAATTTTGCAGAAAAAACTTTTCCATTTTTTCCAGTTTCGTGTCGTTTTCTGTACGAGGTGGGCTTACAGCAACAAAACGAAACATATATAGCAGCCTAGATAATATCCAAAAATAGCTTCAAATTATTTTTGAAAAGCAAAATTTCAAACGGGTTTATGTCACAATGTGAACATTTTTCAAAATTAATAAAAGTCGATCAGTTTAGGACAGAGAAGGGTTTTATGTGATTTACAATCGACTCATTTTGATTATCGATTGTTGTACCTGGTTTTGCAAAAAAAACAAAGAAACTAAAACATAAACGCACACAAGTTTCTTCCCCACTTTCAGTGATGGGAGCATCAAAAACAGCTCGAGTAAAATTTCCTTTTTTATACCCCGAGACACACATTTTAATTTAAAAATCTATCAAAATAACTAGTAAAAATCATTTCATTCGGCAAAAAAAAATTTATGAGAATTTTTTGTTGGTATTCTTTTTTGAAACTTTTTGGAATTTAGCTTCGCATTTAATTTTCAAATTCAAAACCCAAAAACTATAGCTGTAGAAAATAAATGTGAAACAGTTGCGAATATCGCGCGCAACGTTTGAAACAACTATGAAATTAAGCGCGACCAGCAATTTCAAAAAAAACGGCCAAAAAGCTTGAAGTTTCTTTGTTCAGATTTTTTTCATGTTCCTTTTTGCGGTTCGGAAAATTGGTGTAAATTTTTAAAAAGTTGAAGGTTTTTATAGGCTTTGTTTTCAAAATAAGTTTCTCTAATTTCAATGTAACCTCTGCTTTCAAAACTTAAATTCAATATTTTTTTTCTGATATCTAAAAGGACCTAAACTTATCAATTAGGCCAATTTGAAAAATTTTGAACAATTCAGACTAAGAATAATTAGTTTATGCAATTTTTGAAATGAATTATGTTGAGCTTTTTTCAACCAAATAAAGAAGTTAATTTTGATTTGATTTAATTTGATTACGAGCTGACCCAGCAATTTTTTGATTGAGTCATCAAATCGAGTCAAAAAGATCATTAAAAAGGTGATTTTTTGTCCAAGTTTGTATCACATGTGCTATGCACTAAATTACTAATGACCGCTTACGCATTTTTTGTTAAATTTATTTCAGAAAATACTTTATTATTTGGTTTACCCGAGTGATTAAAGCCCTGCATCAAATGATAGCAATACCTATTTTGAAAAGTTGTGCTGGAAACAGTTTGGTACTTGCAGTGGCCAGTGCCGTTTAATTGTTTTCAGAAATTAGAACTGTGGTCGGAAATTCAGTATTAATTGTCTCGTTTCTGCTTTTGAAAACGAATCTTTACTAACAAGATTAGTCGGTTGCTCCGACCAACACAGCAAGTTCCGACCTAATTAATGAAAAACGAATAAAGTATTTGTTTATTCCAAGTTTCAGTTTTTTTGATGCGCCGTCGGATGAGAGGAATTAGAAGAAAGCTTAGAACATTACTAAATCAGTGATATAATACTACTTTTGCATTCGGAAAATACAAAAAACAACGAAACTTGAAAAAAAATCGAAAAAATAATCTTGCAGATTAAGAACTTTTTGAGTTTTTTTATTGCCGAGAAAGCGTAAAAACTAGTTTTGCTGCATTCTGATAATTATTTGTGATAACTGGTTTTCTGTGGATACAAAACTATTCAACACCCGAAGACGAAGTTCCTCCTGGCTTTCAGGGGTAGGAAAAATCGAGTCAACATGGGTTTTGGGCGATGAATCAATCTTTTGAAAAATAATTGAGCAATAATGAGCAATTTGAGTTTTGTTGGCTACCTGTGACATATCTATGGATGAGTGACGTCTTCCCCGCACATGCATCTCCCACCACTTTGATCTGTATCGTTTTGGGTGGGGAGCTGTCTCCAGTTGCAGTCATCAGATATGGATTTGCAATACTTGTGAAATTGTATACCAATATAATTATGTCAGCAACTAAGCTTGTTTATGAATCATGAACTCTCTGTCTTTGTTATTTGGATATAGTTGACGACTAACAATTTACTTGCTCTCTGATTGAAAATCCGACGTTTGATGGTCATTTTAATTTACTTAAGCTTTAATCGAAAATTCAACAAGAAGAATGTATAAGTCGAGCATATCTGACCCGAATAAGGATTGACTTTAGATTTTAAAATTTAAATGATGAAGTACCTAAACTCACCAGAGGGAAGCTCGAAAGATTCTTAAAACGATCTTCTAAATTTCCAAGGAGAAAAAGAGGAGTGAAAAGTTCAAACTGTACTATTTATATCAATCAAAATAAACTGCTGTCAAAATATATTTTTGAGTTTTCCGCACATAAAATATAAATAGTTTTGTTCAAGGTCAACATCTCAGTCAGTTGCGGGACCAATCAAGCCTTTTAGGGCAGTTTTGTGAAGCTTCATTAATTACACTTTGCCATACTTGCTGCCCCAATCCATTCCGTGGGTGGACCCTGCGAACTCATAAGCACACGCCTGTCTGTGTGCGTCGTCAGTGATAAACTTGATGTAGTCCACCTCCAGTCTGAATGGCCCCTCGAAGTGTTCGACTAGACTGAAGCCTATGTTGCGCACCATGGATCTGTCTACGGCTGTGGTTTGGCGACATATCATGCCCTTGTTCGACAGCACCAGGTGCGAAAACGGAATCTACACACACGGACTCTATGAACAAGCCAATACGTGGCCAATGCGTGGTACATAATTAGCTTAAAAATGGTGGCAAGTTAAGTAACAGCTGATTCGACATAGTTCTTATTAGCCATTTATACTCCCCCCCCCCAACCTCCAATTCTAGTTGCCAAAATGTTTCTAGATTCCCCTTTAGGTACTTTTTTTTGACACACTTTCTTCACGTCTTCATGTTTTTGAAAATCCTCGCCAAAAAATCCATGCGCACGCCACCGACTGAAAGCCAATAAAATTTCTAAGGTGTCTGCTTCAGAATTGTGTTTCGGCAATTATTTTTCAGTTAAACTTAATTATTGCCACCACGATAACAGCTTTGATGTTTAAAAACGTGGAAGATCTTCACATATCAACACATGACCATTTACATGTAAAATTAATTTTGTCAGTAGCATCGTGGAGATTTATTGAAGTGTTTCTATGTAATTTGCAAAGTTTCTACCTGAACGACTTCCCAATAGGGTCCGCCCCTTGTGAAGATAGGGTGGAAGTAGAGATCCTCATAAGTGGCGTCAAACTGTTCGTCAATTTGCAGATTGAAGTGATACCTCCTCCCATCTCCCCTCAGTCTGATCTCAATCACATTCCATGGCTTCAGGTCTAACACTCCGTCTCTATAGAACGAGGCCTACACACAACACAACTATGATTTCAAGGAACTATTTAACAACTAATTACTCTGATCTTTTCTCATAATAATTTGCGTACTGTTGTTGTCTTACAGAAAATGAGTGTCTTAATTCACAATTTGCATAGAAAATTAGCAAAATGCACAGTCGATTCGTTAACTTAACTAGTTTGCTCACCATGAATAGTCGTGATCTAATTCCAACATATCCCGACTGGAACGTGATACCATCTCGAGGAACTGCTGTGCTAACATTGCCAGTCCACAGTAATTTCTTATTCGCACCAAGGGCTAAAGAAGCAATCAAATCATTACTTAAACTTTAGTCTTCTTCCGTAGATATAGATTTCAGCCACGATAATTCATTTCTAATAATATAAATTTGCCGCATTATCAGACACCTCGAATCAATCCAAAATAAGGCAAGACTTCTCGTATCAAGGCGAAGCCTGGAATGTTCCGACTGTTGTTTTACGACTGAAATAACTTTTGAAAACATCAATTAAAACAAATACACTTTTCTGATTTTTTTTAACCCCCCACCCTCACACATGATGCCAAGTATAAACAGAGGCGAAACTGCGCTTCGAAAACACTAGCGAGAAAACCACAAAAAGGCGGCCCTATAAAGTGAAATAAGAAAAGGTAAAAATAGGCCTTGAAAAAAAAATTTTTGTTTGCTGTGCAGGATTCGATCTTACGACCAGGAGATTTCAAGTCCCCTGTCCTGGCATTTGAGCCACGGGCCCTTCACAATTTACTAAAGCTAGCCATGAATAAAGCAGCTACATGTGCTTATAAATTGTTAATGCGATGCACAGTATAAATTGTCAATGTCAATGCGATGCAAAATAGACACAATTTTGCATGTAATAATTTGGAAAACAACAAACTGAAGGCATCCACATTTCTAATAATATAATTCATTTCTAATAATATAAATTTGCCGCATTATCAGACACCTCGAAACAATCCAAAATAAGGCAAGACTTCTCGTATCAAGGCGAAGCCTGGAATGTTCCGACTGTTGTTTTACGACTGAAATAACTTTTGAAAACTTCAATTAAAACAAATACACTTTTCTGATTTTTTTTAACCCCCAGCCTCACACATGATGCCAAGTATAAACACAGAGGCGAAACTGCGCTTCGAAAACCACAAAAAGGCGGCCCTATAAAGTGAAATAAGAAAAGGTAAAAATAAGCCTTGAAAAAATTTTTTTTTGCTGTGCCGGATTCGATCTTATGACCAGGAGATTTCAAGTCCCCTGTCCTGGCATTTGAGCCACGGGCCCTTCACAATTTACTAAAACTAGCCATGAATAAAGCAGCTACACGTGCTTATAAATTGTCAATGCGATGCACAGTATAAATTGTCAATGTCAATGCGATGCACAATAGACACAATTTTGCATGTAATAATTTGGAAAACAACAAACTGAAGGCATCCACACTAATTTTGCATGAAATAAACTGGAAAGCAGAAAACCAAATTATGCATAAATTATGAATTTCAAAAAATTGCGAGTTGGAAAATTTTTGAAACCGAGTTTTTATTATTGTACTGTTGTTTGAAACAAATACCTTTTTTTGGTTCATTTGATCAATGAAAAATGCAACTGTGTTAAGGTATTACTAATTGAAACTCAAAGCACAGCTATCGAAAAGCCACCAACACAAAAAAAAAGAAACGTCGTACAATAAAACAGTCCAAATTAATTATAAAAGAATGAAGGTTGCCTTGGCCCGCATATGCTGTTGGAACTTTTGTATGGAGTCCTATCCCACTGTTGGCGCGACTGCCGCGAGCACTATTTGTTTTGTTTGTGTGAAAAAAAAGACAATTCTCGACCTATCGGATTAAAAAAAAACAATCACATGGTACTGTTTTGTAGCGGCTGTTTTTTGTTGGCACATTTTTCCGTTGTTAGCACACTTTTTTATTGGCACATTGGATTGGTTTTTAAACGAGGAATTTATTCATATTGCTGACAACGTAACGCTTTTAATTTATGCGTGGCGAATTATCCCGCATAACAAAATCGTTCGAAATTGAATTGAGGCTAGCTAGTCAGATCGGTTGTATCAATTTCATACGACTCAACATTTCACACTTTGGTGTTGTCCAAAAGTTTTCAACATTTTCTTTTCCCCAAAAATATTCAATGTGACTTAAGGGACAGTCGGAACATTCAGGGCTTAGCCCTGATATACGAGCAGTCTTGTTGTGCGTTAATTACGCGTTAAAACGTGCATTAATTATGCAATAATAGCACGTTTTATAAACACGCTTTAATTGCCACAAATCAGCCAAATTATAAATTTCAAAACATTTTTCAAAACATGATCACAGTTAAAAAACTGAATTTTCTTAAATATGAGCTCAAGCTTCAGGTGGTAAAGAAAAATTCCGTCCAAAAATGGCTAGTTAAGAAATCGAAACTTGTCTGGAGAAAAAAGTACAGCAAGTACAAACATTCCGCCATTTTCTTTGAGAGTCTTAACTGCAAAAAGAAACAAGTCAAAACGAACAGATTTTTGTTCCGACTTTCGATACGAAAGTAACGGAATATTTGTGCTCGGGGTGGGCTTTTTTCTTCAGACAAACTTCGACTTTTTAACTAGCCATTTTTGACGGAATTTTTTTTATATCATTCGAAAAATATTGTTGTCCTGAGCCTAAATTTGAAAAGATATTTCACCTGTGATCATTTTTCGTAAAGTTATGAGGGTTTAAAGAATGCCATTTTGACCAATTTGGGACAATTAACGCGCGATATAATTCGCGCTATTAACGCGTAAGCGGAGATTTTATTCGTCTTAAAAATCATTCCAAATTGTTTGAAAGAAGCTTATTTGCCATAATTGATTTGTTACAAGGAGCAAAAAATATTGTTTTGTACTTTGTATGGCGTGTGGGGGGATGATTTTCATAGAAAAAATTTCAAGTTGTAGAAAAATTTTTTTTTCGTTTTATTTGATTTCATTTATTTTTTTATATTTTGTCTATGTTATTACTGCTCCATAAACTTAAAAAGGCAGTCGGAACTTTCAGGGCTTCGCCCTGATACGAGCAGTCTTGTCATAATTTATCTTCCATTCAAACTGCCATATGAACAATGTTTGAACAAATATAAAGAAAATTACCCAGAGAGGATGATAAGCACGAAAGAGCCAACTGCTCGTATGAGGGAAAATCCGTGAAAGTTCTAACTGCCGCCGTTCAACGTCAATGATATAGGTTTTAAGATGTGAAAAAGATATAACAAATAATATTTGCGAAAAATTTGTATCCGTTGTTTGCTTAAATTTTTCGCCCGAAGGCTGCGTAAAGAGTGCAAAATGAAAAGTTTAGCATCAACGAACTCAAGAATTTAGCAAAATATTAATAAAGCCAAATATCTTTCGTCGATGCAATTTGGAAAAATTTTGGTCAAACAAATTTGTCTGAAGAAAAAAAAACCACACTACACCGAGCACAAATATTCAGAACACAAAGTCGGAACAATGAAAGCAAGCTAAGCGTAAGATCTTTCTTTGGCGTATTCTTCTGTAAACGATCACCTAATTTGCTGTTGCTCTTTCCTCCCATGTCACCATCTCCCATGGATACCCACTGTCTCACCACATCTGCACTGTCGAACTTGAACAACGTCAGAGACTCCTGATGACTTTGACTGGAAACAAACAAAATCACAACTTCCATATCATACTTGTTATATGCATGTTGGCAAGTACCTGTGTGACATGGTCAGCCATTTTTGTATTTGAAATAGGTACAATTCTGCAGCCGTTACATAGTTGGTGCGTATACTGTTGAGTTCCAGATGACCAACTATTTCGTGACCTTGAAAAGCAGAACTTTCATCCTCATCAACCAAGAGGAAGAATTTGTAACACCATCCTATTCGTGTATTATCGATCTCTTACTTTCTGTATTCGTTTGACAGATGTGTCTTTTGTTCGTACAGCCACTGTTTTACAGAAAACTTGAGTCTTTCAATCTCTTCGCCCGGTACATGCGTAGAGCTCTCTTCAATCATCCCCTCTGACTTCATGAAGCGATGTACCCATGATATCTGCAAGTCCAGCAGCTTGTAGAAAAACGTGCGCAACCGCATCCAGACCTGAAGTCAAGATCCTAAGTGAAATATCTTGAAATATTGAAACTACTCCAACGGTTAAAAAACCTAACTACCACAAAAGCGGCAGAAACTAATTCTAGCACATGAAATTTAACTTTAATTCCCGCAACTGATTTAAGTTTTTTTTTAACAAATCAACCGAACAAAAAAATCGGCACTGAGACTCAACTGGATTTATTTTGTCTGGGATGTGTATGGACCAAGAAAGCGTCGGATCGCTCATTTATAAATTGTAAAATAAATCGATAAAATAATTACTGAACGAGCATTAGTATTTTACAAGGGCCTACTAAATTGAGAAAAACATTATTGAAACCTTCACCAACAGCCGTTCTTTTTTAGTAAAAAAAAACTGCTCAAAAAACTTGATCATCACTTGTCGTAGATTTTTTTTGTGAATTCGACAAATTTGTCTGCTCTCGACACTCAACTTAATAGATAGCAAAATAATCAAAATGAACGCATATTGAGGACAGTGAAAGAATTAATCGGTAAACGAATTGATGCAAATATATTTTTTCAGTATTTTCTTACCCGAAATCGTGCGAAAGTGTGATTAATAACTATTGTAATAAATGGGGATGAAACTTCCGTCGAAAGCAGACCCGTATCTGTCATTTGTCTTTTTTCTACCTAACAGAAGGCTCGAGGGTTGAAAAACTAGACCAGCAATTTAAATGACATTAATCAAGCTGATTTTTTCCAATCCAATTTTCTATTAACTAACCGCAATACTATTACTAAAGCGTTAAAGCCGATAAGTGCAAGAAAAATTTGAAATGCATAAAATACACAGAAGTGACTTAATATAATTGAATGTTTTTTTCACAGATTCTGTCAAATAGTGCCAAAGGTAGTAAATTTTCAAACTGGTATTGTCCTTGCAATTAATTTCTTTTTACGGATTTTGGGATGTATTGAGCAACCGCCACTTATTCCGGCAGGGTTGCTCAAAACATGCCGAAAGACAGCAATGAAGCTGATTTTATCAAATTCAATTTTCGATTAAGAAACGTAATACTCAAATTATTTTCATAATCACCATTATCAAAACGTTACAACCGATTAAGGTAGGAAAATTTTGAAATGAACAAAATAGACAGAAGTGACATTTTATAATTCAATTTTTTTCACAGATTCTATCAAAGAGTGGCAAAGATAGTAAATTTCCAACCTGATAATGTCCTCGCAATTGAGCAACCGCCATTTTTTCAGCAGTTTGTTCAATACATGCCAAAAGATATTAATGAAGCTGACTTTATCCAATCCAATTTTCTATTAAGAAACGTAATACTATTACGATTTTCAGAACAATCATTATCAAGCGTTTAAGCCGATTAGTGTAAGAAAATTGTGAAATGCACAAAACAAACAACAGTGACATGTTATACTCGAATGTTTTGCACTTTTTGTTACACAGTTTCTGTCAACTAAAGCCAAAGATAGTAAATTTTCAAATTGATATTATCCTCGCAATTATTTTTCTGTAACGGATTTTGGCCTGTATAAAGCAACCAGCACTTATTTCAGCAGGGTTGCTCAATACATACCAAAAGACAAAATTGAAGCCGATTTTATCCAATCCAATTTTCTATTAAGAAAATTTAAACTACTATGATTTTCATAACTATAATTAATGAAGCGTTAAAGCCGCTTAGAGTAAGAAAATTTGAAATGCATAGAATGCACAAAAGTTACATATTATATTTGAATATTTTGCATTTTTTTTACCCAGTATGTCAAATAGCGCTAAAGATAGTAATTTTCCAAACTAATATTGTCCTCTCAATTTTTTTCTTTAACGGATTTTGGCATGTATTAAGCAACCGCCACTTTTTCACCAGGTTTGCTCAATACATACTAAAGGGCACAGAAGAAGCCGATTTTATCCAATCCAATTTTCTATCAAGAAAATTTAAACTACTATGATTTTCATAACTATTATTAATGAAGCGTTAAAGTCGATTAGATTAAAACTTTAAATGCATAGAATGCACAAAAGTAACTGTTATATTTGAATATTTTGCATTTTTTCACCCATTATGTCAAATAGCGCCAAACATAGCAATTTTCCAAACTAATATTGTCCTCGCAATTATTTTCTTTAACGGATTTTGGCATGTATTAAGCAACCGCCACTTTTTCACCAGGTTTGCTCAAATAAATACTAAAGGGCACAGAAGAAGCCGATTTTATCCAATCCAATTTTCTATCAAGAAAATTTAAACTACTATGATTTTCATAACTATTATTAATGAAGCGTTAAAGTAGATAAGATTAAAATTTTAAATGCATAGAATGCACAAAAGTAACTGTTATATTTGAATATTTTGCATTTTTTTCACCCATTATGTCAAATAGCGCCAAACATAGCAATTTTCCAAACTAATATTGTCCTCGCAATTATTTTCTTTAACGGATTTTGGCATGTATTAAGCAACCGCCACTTTTTCACCAGGTTTGCTCAAATAAATACTAAAGGGCACAGAAGAAGCCGATTTTATCCAATCCAATTTTCTATCAAGAAAATTTAAACTACTATGATTTTCATAACTATTATTAATGAAGCGTTAAAGTCGATTAGATTAAAACTTTAAATGCATAGAATGCACAAAAGTAACTGTTATATTTGAATATTTTGCATTTTTTCACCCATTATGTCAAATAGCGCCAAACATAGCAATTTTCCAAACTAATATTGTCCTCGCAATTATTTTCTTTAACGGATTTTGGCATGTATTAAGCAACCGCCACTTTTTCACCAGGTTTGCTCAAATAAATACTAAAGGGCACAGAAGAAGCCGATTTTATCCAATCCAATTTTCTATCAAGAAAATTTAAACTACTATGATTTTCATAACTATTATTAATGAAGCGTTAAAGTAGTATTAAGAAACGTAATACTCAAATTATTTTCATAATCACCATTATCAAAACGTTACAACCGATTAAGGTAGGAAAATTTTGAAATGAACAAAATAGACAGAAGTGACATTTTATAATTCAATTTTTTTCACAGATTCTATCAAAGAGTGGCAAAGATAGTAAATTTCCAACCTGATAATGTCCTCGCAATTGAGCAACCGCCATTTTTTCAGCAGGTTTGCTCAATACAAGCCAAAAGATATTAATGAAGCTGATTTTATCCAATCCAATTTTCTATTCAGAAACGTAAAAATATTATGAAACATACGTATAAAAAACAGAAACATAACTGAGTAAACCCTCAATATTTAGAAACGAATCTATAAGCCTTCGGTACTACCCAGATTGTCTCAAACTTCATAAGTACGTGATTATAAAATTGGCAAAAAATTGTCAACTGAAAATTTTGCGACCAAGTAGCTGAAACCGACGGCTAATAGTGTAGAAAATAAGACCAAAAACTTGGATTTATCAGAAATTTGAAATCCCTGTTCCTCCCGAGCTGTTTTGTTCACCTTGTACATCAAACAAATAAATTTCAATTAAAAGGAACAATTAAAATGACATCGAAAGACTAGAAGTTTCATTGCAAAAAGGTTAGATACAAAAAAGCTGCTCGAATACTGCTCAAGTACCCCTATACCGCCTTAAAGCCACATCACCTTACAGTACTCGCAAGCTCGCGAGTGATTTAAGATGTATCTTAAAAGATCGCAGGTGTAACAACTAAAACGCACTTGAAAGTCAAGTTCTATTTTTCGCGACATTTCCACATTTGTTGAAGAGCCTGATTCGTCTTCCGCTCAATACAATAACTTAAAATAAAACCAAAACTCAAACTTCAAAAAATAAAAACATCCATGTTCTGACCACAGTAGTTCATAAAAGAACTTCACAAATAAAGTCATTATTTCGAGTTTTTTCTAGCTTATTGTTATTTATTATAAAGATTGACTGAATTAGTTGAAAAACTGCAGGAATGATAAATAATATTAGCTATAACACAGATTAACTTCTATAAGAACTAAAATGAGGACTAAAATCAGCCGCTAAGTAAAATCCGCCTCTCAACCAAATCCGTCTTATGTATTCTGAAAATCGAAAAAAGCAGGCCAGTTTTTCTCGACAGAGAACTTTTCTGATTTTTTAAGAATCGGAATTACAACTTATCGATAACTATTACGCTACCTCACTTGACGCCCTACTTGCTTTCCTCGAGGTAGTCAAAATTGGCGGGAAAAACTATAACAAACGGACCCTATGCCAGATCGGTCAGAACAATAAAAAATCGATTGGTTTACAACTAGAAGCACAAACTTGGAAAGAAAACGGGAATTTCAAATGCACAATAAACATACTGTGTGACCAAAAACGCCATCATCGTGACGTTAATAAGAGTCTGACCTACGTCCATACTATTAACAAACGAGTAACATATGCGAAGAATCGACCGATTAATTTGCTCGCCAGTCTTAAAAAAGGTTTATCATTTCATTTCTCTCAATCAAATAATGCAAAAAAAGCGATTGAAAAGCTAAACAAAATTGGGAAAACATTGCCATCTTTTGGAAAAGTGTCATTGAATGCAATGAAAGCGATTAAAAAATACTGTCAAGAGTTGTTTTTTGAAAACTTCAAGTTTTGAACTTCCAAAGAAAAAAGATAGCCTTAGAACTGTGAACTTCACGAACAATACTGATTGACTATCTTTAATAAAATTAACCCCAAAAACTGGATCAAGAGAAAACTTTTCTATTCCACTGAGATGTGCAAAAATAAAATTCACTTTCGAAACTAGAAGATCACTTTTTCATAACATTTACACTTCTGCTGTTCGACAGCGGAGTTCGCCTTTTTTCAACGAAGGAAATGAAGTAAACTTACAATAAAATCAAAAGTCAAACCGCGAAAAAAATTGAGCTTGAACAAATTGTATCACTTTTCCTAGAAAAAAAAACAAAAAAAAACATTTTAATAATCGACCGAATTAATTGTTCGCCAGTCTTAAAAAAACGGTTTGTCACTTCACTTCGTTCACTCAAATAATGCAGAGAAAAGTGGCTGAAAAACTAAACGAAATAGAGAAAACATTGCCAATTTTTGGAAAATTGTCATTGAATGCAATGACACCGAAAAAAAATACGATCAAAAGAGTTGTCTTTTGAAAATTTCGATTGAGTTTTTTTGAACGCCCATGTAAAATTAACCCCATGTATGAAAGCTAGATCAATAGATAAACTCACAATTAAAATTCATATTCGAAACTAGAAGTCGTTCACATTTTTTGGAACATTTCCGCTTTCGTTATTTGAGTGCATATTATACATTCCTATTAGCAAGTGACTTTGAATTGAATTTGAAAAGAAATCAAAAGCTAGGCAGCATAAAATCAACTTTGCCGTGAACAAGTTAAAAGCTTTCTGAAAAAAAAAATGACTTAAACTTCATCACGAGCTATTAAATGTCTTCACTAAGTTCATTGACACTAAAAAAATTAATGCAAGGTAACATAGACTATTTTTGTTGATACCAGTTAAATTAACACATCTAAACAAAAATGACATGAAAACCTCAATTGCTTGCAACTTTACAAAAGCCAATCATATCCATTTAATATGATTTTAAAAGATTTCATAAGTTTTGGACGCTGAACGTTAAGTTATTTCACTGGTACCATATTGAATGTGTTACCACTAATTATCCTTTTTTTATCCACCTTGATAATTGAAAAGTTGATATTGAAACTGCTTAATTATACACTAAACTAATCAAAAATATAGAATTTAAACAATATTTACTCCAATTTGGACAAAAATGAGGAAAAGCAATGCAAATGAGAAGAGAATAGTATTAATATTAGAGCATTAAAGATGAAAAATTGAAGTAAAAAATAAAAATTAAGAAGACTGAGAGGCCAGTTTTGAAAGCATTAGCGGTGCATATTGACAATGCAGACGACAATTTTCTACTGTTGGAAGGTGAGGGGAACAAGCTCTCGACACCGACGGCACTTCTAATATTCAGTCTCGATTCGTCCTCACTCGACTTCTGGCCTATTTCTACGAACGTCTTCCAGTCGCCAGTTGTCATGACGTCGAAGATGCAAGAGTCCAGAAAGAATCCAGCCAAGTGGCTGCAACGCTTCCTCGCAGTCTCGTACGACACCCGAGCTTTACTCGGATGTGGAGGGGGCGGTGTGGCCGGAAACTCAGCTAGAGTCTCCGTATCTGGACATGCGGCACTGCATAGTTCCATGTGGAAATCGCGCGATGTATGGCCGTAGGAGGGCAAGGCTTTGGCCACGTCTACTGGAGATTTGACTGATATTGAGAGATAGGATCCTATTCTTCTGATTACAATTGTGGTGTTGATGTACTTGGCCTGTAGTTCTACGTGAGTGCCGTTGGCCTCCTTCTGCAGCACGTAGAGGTTGTCGCTATGGCCGCCCTCGTAAGTTCCGTCGTTGAACGAAGAGGGCAACATGCTCTCAGTCGTGTCATAGATCTTCTCTTTGGCCACGCAGTTCAGTTTAGATCGAAACACAACCAGCACCTTAACATGAAAATACACACTGCTTACACATCACATCCCACCACAAATATTTCAAAATGAGCGCACAAAACGCAATGGAACGGAATGCATTTGACAATTTTGGACATTTACTTTTCATTAACTGGACAAAGAAAAAAAGACACTAATTCTGTGTTCTATTCTCTTCAAATTAGTCACTTTATTGTGTTTGCTCATAGCATTGAACACCATTTTATTATACTACGATATGTACAAACCATGCATTTGCGTAATATTATTTTCAATTGCTAAGTTTGTTATAAACCAGGCACATCAGTGGATATTCTAGTAGAAGTTGCTTTTCATTCACGCAAGCTGTCAACGACCAGCGAGTATTTCCGTACCACATGACTGAAAAAAAAACGCGAACAAAACTCCATGTTTAAAATCCCAACCATGCCAAAATTTACAAACTTTCCGGTCAACTGCAAACAATGTACACTCAACACTCAGGATAATGGCAAGATAACACGAACTTTAGAATGTGCTACTCACTCTATTGATAGCCGACGCGGAACTTAAAGCATTGGACTGATCGTCCTTTCGTTCATGTGATCCAATAGTGTCTCTTGCATTGCGAATATGACTATCAAATGATTGCGTCACTTCTGTACTTCTAGATATTCGAGATCCGGATGAATAACTGCGCGACCACTCGGTCGGATTTGGATCCTGGTCTGATCCTGGTCTTCCGAATCTATCGTTAATGTCCCCTATGGGCACATTTAAGGCTTGTATAGTGAAATAGACATTGTCAACCAGAGGCCAAGCCCCAATTGCAGCACAAGTCTGCTTTCGTCCCCCATAAGTGACAATGTGGGGGTCTCCGAACAGACTGCAGAAGACAGGCTGCGACTGCAGAGACACTCCCGGGTCCTCCATGTAGCAGAAATTGCTCGGGTCCCGTCTTTGAGTCGGCTGTGAGATCATCGGCAGCTCATTCGTGTGGTTCTTTATTACCTGAACATCAAATAAAAAATGTTACATTTGTTTTAAAAAAATTCACTTATCTTTATCTAACTATAATTAAGCTTGAACTAAAACTAAAATAGCTCTAGTTATTATTTACGTCAAATAAGGGGAGAGCCATTATCCATGGAAATATGTCGATCTGTTCATATATTGGAAGCTATTAGTAACCATTTAAATTACGTAAATGTGAAGTATTGAACTTTAAGTCTACAGATGGTTGCTCACCTCTTTGCAGTTTAGATCATCGAATTGATTCTGCAGGTACCGATTTGATACATGGTAGTTCAAGTCCTTGTAGCAACTGGCGTCAACATTCTGCAGACAGATTAGTCCGTTGTTGAAGATGACACATCTTTCCAGCACCTCTCTGTTGAATGCATAGCTGTTATGAATCCAGTCGGAACAGTATCCCATTGAACAGTCTGAGTCTGTTCCCCCACTGGGCCGGCCACCAATGCCACCCCCTTGATTACCCCCACTCCGAGGCATCTGTTCATATAAGGATCCTGACGAACGTCTGTGTCTCGCTACAGTGTCCATGTTGACAGTTCTGGAGGGTGATTCTCTCTTTAGTAAGTTTCTCTGATCATTGATGTGCATTGCGTTTGCTAAACAAAATCAAAACAAATCAAAAACTTTTCTTCTTTGTTTAACTTGCCATTAAATTGGGGGAGTTTGAAACAAACACTAATCAACTCAAATATTTTCGAATCGAGTTAGACTCATTTTGATTTTTTGTACGCGGGGATTAAATTTTGTTCCAATTATGCCTGATATTCGGGGCGTGAACACAAAAGAGCCGATCAGGAAATTAAAAAATGCAGGAGCACTAACTGGTAATTAGCGAGGAGATGAGTAGCAAAAGGTGCATCAGTAACTTGGGGTAGAACGAGGAGGAACTCAACGCATTACAAGGATGTCTCCAAGTATTTGAAGCACTTTTCTGCGTGGACTTTAATTGTAAACGCGATCTCTCTTTCTCACTACGAGTAGAAGCTCGCCTCCTTTTCCCACATGATCCTGTAAACATAGATGCCCAAATTGAGCATTTCCAAATGGCGTGCAATTTGAGACTATTTCCAAGTGGGCTTTGAAGAGGCGGTATTTTGAATAGCGATAAATGCTTCTCCATTTGAAAAGGAGACGTGTTAAGGCCACTTTGAGATGATGATGTTGAGGATGAAGAAGATGAAGTGGTTCGAGTAGACGATTCTGTGCGCCGAATCTGCATCAGTTCTTGTTCGTCCGACCCGAGTTCCAACTCCACTCTCGACTTTCCATATAAGGGAGTTCCCATTTCGCCATCTGGGTGCAGCTCAGGAACTCTTAGCAGTTCTGCAGAATAATCTACGCGGGGAAGGCAACGTTGAAAAGGGCAATGGTTTGACTTGATATGTGAGGAGGTATACGTGTAGTTGTGGTTGGGAGGGTGCCAACTTTGATGGTGGTAGTGATGCGTAGTTGGCTTTAAGTATGAGTGAGGCACTTGGTTTGGGAAATATGGGGTTCGATAACTTGCCAAGCATTGAGCGAAGTCTTGTCCCCTTTTCAAGTTTGAGACAGAATATGATGCAAGATAGTCTAAACTCTTGTTCATGTTTCGAGATCGATCAAGTTTAGGTTCACAGCAACGAGAATAAACTGAATCAACTGTCTGCTGCCTCTGTTGTTTATCACTATATTTCAAGGGTTCGTACATTTTATCTTTCACTTAGCAAGTTGACTTACAAAGCGAACAATTGAGATTAAGAACTTGAGTTCTGTTTCTGTTCGAGTGAACATTGAAATGTAATCAAGTGATAAACTGAATGAAGACCGACAAATTTTGAGCTAATCAATAAGGACTGTAGAGATGTTGCTGAGACAGGTAGTCATCTGCATTGTTACATTGTCAAGTTGGAACTGTGCAGACTTCTAGTTATTACTGCTAATAATCGGAGGAGCCCAGCCCGTTCAAGTAAAACTGATAACTGAATAGAATATAAGGAAAAGAAGGAAGACTGATCAATCGGTTCAGCTGGGGATTCAATTAGACGAGGGCTTCAATTGTCCCCAGGCGACTTGGCTTCAATTGATGCTCGATGTATAGATCGTATTTGGTCCTCTGGCGATATCAAATCATTAGTAGCAGTTGATCGGATCTCGGATCTATCTTAAGACACGTAGGTGTAGGGTCGTTGGTCTTATAGCGCGGACGACACTGGTGTAGAGATTGAGTTAATCTGAAACAGCATAAATGCGTTTTAGCGTTGCAGCGAAGTAGAATATTTGGTATTATTTGTAGGAATTAAGGTAGCAACTAGCAACTGTAATATGATCATATGAATGGATGGATGAGGCGGAATTAGTGAGGATAACACACATTAAAAGACCGTGACTGACTGGCGCCCACTGTCCTGCCTTCTTTGTTGTCCAAACACAACAAATCCATCCGCCTCCCCCCGGAACACACACGTACACTAACTGCTGCTCATTCTCAAGACTCTACCAAGATTATAACCACTGTACTGTATTAGACTGAACCAAACTGTTAAATCACTTCCCAGTACAAGTGTCAACTTACCATCAGAATGCGACAACCGATCAGTCAGTTTTGAGGCAGAAACGCCCATACAAAAATTAATTGGAAAAGTTCCCACCTGCAATCGAGCCGAGATCATTGTATGATAGAGCAACTTGATTTAAAAATAAATCAAAAAATCAAAGTGCGCGCAAAATTGGGCGGCTATGGCATTTCAGTTTTTAGTGTTATGATAGCGGAAGTAACGGGTGGTAGGTTTGGTTGCCAGAAACGACTAGCGAAAAGGTATTTAACGGTCTTGGCGCCCCGTTTCGGTTTTCTACTTACCTTACTTGTTCTGATCTTCTACGGAGGCGTCTGCGGCATGGCGACAGCACGGGACAGGAAACGAGCAGTAATAGATGGATCAAAGCTCGGTAGAATAATTGACAAAAAGGTTTGAAAAAAGTTGAAAAAATGTGTGGGAAGGTTTGGCGCCACTTGGAATCGAAATGCAGACAGAAGGTAATTGGGAAATAATTTAGCACAGATTAAAGGAATGTAGAGTCAATGTAGACTCGAACTGAAATTGAATCGAAGACGAAATGAAGGGAGGGAGGGAGGGAGGAGGAGGATAAACCAAATCGGAGCCGCTTTCTTCTATCATATTTCTCCCGTGCTATATCCAGAAGCAACTAGCGAAACGGAGAAACAGATCAGAACAGTACAAAAGAACAGGCAGGTTTCCATCTATCTGTACCTACTGTTCCAATCAAGACACAGTTTAAAAAGTAAAAACTAGAAGAGCTCTCTTCCAGCCAGTAAGCGTGCTGCTGCATTATTTTGAGCAAACAGGGAAGCAAAAGAAGGAACTATGCTTCAATTATGGCGAAAAAAGTGTAGTTAGTATTAGTACTAGTTGTCGAGATGAGCTACTTTTACTCACTATCTAACGAAGAATAAAAAAGGATGAAAGATAGTTACCGAGAAAGTACGGTGGGGCAATGAGCGGAGCAGGCAGCTATTGGCTGGTGGGTGAATACGTTGAAATACAAATATCGCGCCTGCATTCTGCTGCCGAGAGCTCTTAAATTTCGTATCAACTTTTTTTTTACTCTTTTTCATTAATTGTATACGTTCTATACGTTTACTGCGCTATTATTGCTGCTATTTGTTTGCAAAACATGAACAGGAGCAGCTGCTTGCATCTCTGCTCAGGAGATGATTTTCAGCAAAAGAGGGATTAATATTTCAGAGGCCTTTAAATAAAACAGCAACAAAAACGAAATATTTCTTGATTTAAAATCAAAACAAAGCACTCAGATGTGGCTGCGAAAAAGGGAACAAGTATATCAAAAACAGCAGCGGCAGCAGCAGCATCGGCGAGAGAAGAAAGAAATGTTTTGAATTGGATTCGAATGTTGTTCCAGTTCGTTCGCCAGCTGTATTGGGAAGGGTGCTCAGTCTTAATGCAAAAGTGGGGGATTTGTCATGGGAGATTTAGGTAGGGCGATGATGTGGAAAATGTTTATTGTTTGCGCCTGCTCTGTTCTGTTGTTGCCGGCCATCTGAGTTATTGGCTGACAAATTGATTCTCATCAGTGTAAGCTGTTCTTACAAATCAAATAAACAACACACTCCATTGCACCCTTTGTTCGCAAGCCTCTACACCTACAGATTCCTCCAAATATTACAACTGGAGTGATTACAATAAAGCTCAGCGCAAAAAAAAACAATAAAACAGGGGTAAGGTGTATCTAATCGATGAAAACTGGGAACATTCACATCAGTATCAGCATAATAAAGCTCTATCGAAGCACAATGAATAGGCAGGCACTAGACTAAAACGCTGTTTCGGCACTTGATTATTTGCAAGTGGTTGATGAATTTGATGAAAGAAACTAATTTCAAAGCTCATTGCGCAACCTGTCGGCACAAAAAAACAGGAAAACAATAAGATGACGTAAATGAAACGCGTTCAAAAAATTTCAGCAATCTGTTTTCCTTGCTTGATTGCTGCGGCAGACTTTTAAAAGAAAAAATGCAACCACGAAAAGTGTGGCCTGCAATAGACGAAAACTCAACGATTATAAATTTGACTGATCTATAATAATCTTCAAAACTATGCAATAGAAAAAAGTCTTCGTCTAAAGAATTGCAACACACGAGCTGCCCCCTGAACAGACCAAGTGAACAATCTAACCCCTAAAACTAAAAGGCAAATTCAAGCAGTAAGGCCTGCATGTACTATTCTCAAATCTGATTGGATAAAAAATATTACTTTTAACCAAGTGAGCAATCTCCCTCCTACATTGATTTAGGGGGGAGATTGTTCACTTGGTCCCACGAGCTCTTTTAAAACATAGTTCTCGTTTTACGAATTCCACAATCTTTTAAAGTAACACGAGGCATTGGAAAAAATAAAATTGAGATAACAAAAACAACTGAAACAAAGATTTCGAGTTGCACACAGGCGAAGTGGATCTTCAAAACATTTGCGATTAAATCTTCAAATCATTCGCGATAAAGTAAATTACGATACCCAAGTCAAACAGTCACCTCAACGTGGTAGCATCCGAGCAACGTACGTCGTACATAAGCAAAAAATTTTATATACGGCTAACGATTGTGCTTGCACCCCTGCCCAATTCTACAAGTAAGCGCGTAGGACTCTCGAATTTCTAGCGTTTGCGCAGTTAAGTTCAAATCTGTATTCGAAACCACTTAACTAAGTGATTATTTAAGTGGTTCAGAGGGGATCTACTGTTCTCAGCCCTTCGGATAGAGGGATCTACTGTTTACTACTCCTAAACCGGTGAGACCAAAACTCCTATGTTCTATAATGTCCCTTGATGAATGTTTAAGTTGAAGCTGCTGAACAAGGTAACGCCGCATTAGCGCTGTGGGTTCCACGCTATCTACAGTCGGTTTTTTCAATCCCTAATCCTACTTAAAGCAGGACCAACCGTAGAGGCTGAAAATTTCGTCCATACCACCATAGCCGTTCTTACAATGATACAGAGAATCTAGAGGCGGTCTCCAGAGAAGTCTCCAAAATATGGATTTGTAAGGTGGGTAAGATAACAGACGCTATGAAATTTCCAATGCCACAGATCGAGATTATAGCAAAAGCTCCACCAAATAAGTGAACACTTTTCTTTGCGAGCTAGGTTAGAAAAAAAGAAGTTTTGTATTAATACACTAACGCTCGTAAGGTCGCCCGTAATAAACCACAAAATGAAAACATCAAAAAAAATTCCAAATTTTTTGCACTTAAATTTTAAATTCGTATGGAAGTTTTATGGCCGATAAAGCGCATAACGAAGCTTCCAAAACTGGTTTTCTTTTAAGTAAAAAAAAAACCTTTTTTAGCCTGAATGGCCTATGTTTATAAAAAGCAAACGATACTCGATCGCTTTACTCGCTCGAAATTAGACGAAAACTCAAAAATTTTAAACCGGTTGTTTTAGAACATTTTGAATGTCGTTCGAATCACGACTAAAAAAGGCCTTAAATGATATATCACTCGAACCATTCCAATGATTATTTGCGATTCCTGATTTTGCATGGAAAACAAGAGAAAAAGTAAAACGCCCTAATACAAAGCTCCTCCATATTGTTCAAACGGTCTCAACAAGTTTTTTTTTAAAATAGTCAATTATTAATCAGATAACTGCTCGAGAATAATCAGTGCTGAATTGCCATTATGGCAAAAGCATTGCAACAAAAGGTCATGAACTGGCTCTTACACCAACAAAACCGAGAGACTTCCGTTGAGCTGAAAAAAAACTTAATTATAAGTTTTGAATTACAAAAACACCGTGGTTTTCACGTGAACATATCTCCCAGCCACAAGAACGAAAGATTACGATCGCCAATCAAACTACTCAAAATGAGGCGAACGAGGTGATACAAAATTAGACGAAGCCTTTCATGCAAAACACACATTTCAAGAGAAAAAAAAATGAACAGAAATTTCTCAGAAATATACAAACAAAAAATTCGAAAAAAAGACATCTAAAATGGAGATACGCTTCAAATATATCTGTTGATATGCCAAATATTGGTCTAAATTATTCAGTGATTCTATTAAACTCCTGGTTACATGAAAAATGGTATGCTCCGATTTGGTATCTTTTGTTATTTGCAAGCGTGAAAACGTTAGACCTTTTCTCTTACTTTGTGATGCAAAACATTGGCCGATAAAATCAAAATAGAACGTCTAAAAAAACAAAGCTGTTTAATGATACAAAAAGCTTGCTACATTTTTGTGGATGATTAATCAGTTTCAACTTGAACTTTTTTGATTAAAAAAAAATATATACTCCAAAAACAGCAAAAAGTATCCCGAAAACCCCTTTTCTCATTGCAATTTAAGAAGAGGACTATCTGGTCGCTGTGCAACAAAAAACAAAAACACTCTGACTACATTGATGTTTTTATAAAAGGCAAAAGAATCAAGTATAGCGCTAGAAAGTGTATCAGGCTTCCAGGTAATTTAACCTTGAAAATCGAAAAACTTGAAAATGACGTTCGAATCACGAGTTTTAATATATATTTTGACCCATTCCAATGAATATCTGTATTAGCTGGTTTTGCGTAGATAAAAAATTGAAGACACTCAGAGCTTTCTTTGCCGATGAAAATTTGTTGCTTTCTTGTGCAGTAGAAGTGGAATCACATAAAACTGCTCTTAAGATTTAAAAAACAATTGTTTATCACTTCATATACACAAGTGAAGCTGTCTATCGCAAACAAGCAAAAGTTGGCAAATATGAGCTTTCAAATAGCAAGAAAATGCTGAAAATTGAACATGGAGGCGAAGCAGACGGGGAAAAAGAGCCACTAAGCCCAAAAATTTCATATCATAATCAACATCAACTAAATGGAATAGATGCCTTAAAAGCTCTTCATAATCAACATCAACCAAATGGAATGGATGCCGTAAAAGCTCTTCGGATTTTCTAGAACAATTTATTATTGACACTTACTTTTCTGATTAAATTAACCCAATTTGAGAAAACTGGATCATAAGCTTATTTTTTTATTCCACTGGGGAACCCTAACACTTTTGCTGTTCGATTCGCCTTCCTTTTAACAAAGGTGAACCTGACTTTTCCTGAAAAAAAAAACAAAAAAATCACCAGCACCTTAATAAGAGTCTGAACTACATTCATCAAATTTTAAAAATATCCACAAAATGTGTCTGGAATTGTTCTTTTAGCGGAAAACACGCTGAAACCCAATCGACGGCGTTTAATGAAAACTCACAAACAATTATCTAGCGGCAACTGAGCCGACAAAACTATAACTTCTATTGTAAGAATTTTAGCTTTTTGTGGGATCTAGAGGAGAGCATTAAAATTAAGTTCTCCTTGAAACCACCCAAAATTATATTACTAAGCAGAAAAAATATAAGTCAAAATAACTCAGGCCGAAAGAAAATTTTATGCTAAAAAAGTACGTAGGAAGTCAAGGTTAGAAAATTACAACTTGAAGAGTAAAGGACAAAACTAAAAGCAACAACAAAAAAAACTGTTTAAATTAAAACAAAAATACAATGATTGTATTGTCGGAATGGTTCTAAGTCGACAAAACATGAGCAGACAAATACTAGGCCGACTATTTTGAAACGGATTAGTTCGTTTTAAAACAAACAGGTTCTGGTCAGATTCAAATCCAGGAGCTTTACCGTTCCAGGCGTATTCATTGCCTCCAGAGCATTTGTGCGGGAGACGCTGAGAAATTTGAACATATGAACCAAGAGATTAAGTAATTCTGTTAAACAAGTTGTTAACCCAAAAAAGTCTATATTCTGATTTGACAACTCTTGCTAATCGGTAACGTAACACAGAAGCGAAGCGGAGCTTTGCATCACTTTAATTGCAATACAACGCAAACGCAGCATTGGAAGCAAGCAAAACGAGAACGAGAAGACAATTAGAAACATCAAAATATTTTTGATTAAATAAACTGTTAGTATTTACCGAGCGGCATCTAAGCCGACAATTAGTGGGTAGACTCCCATAGAGCCGAAAACAAACGCCATAAGAAATTGATGTCATAAATATTTTTAGAGCAACTAGGCTTTAAATCATGCAACTACTTAAAATTTTCAAAAAGTTTTTTTTTTGCTTTGAAATGACACAAAATAATGAAACGAAGCCAATCAAAACAAATCGAAACCGTTTAGGTCGAATAAAGCTTTAAGCGGACAAAAAAGAAAGGAAAACCAAGGAAAATATAGAACGAATTGGTATTAACTTTACAAACTACAGGTGTAAACCAAAACACTTGCACATGATAAAAATTGCTGGCAGCAAAATAAATTCCCCGACGTGGCAACTGAGCCGACAATACATAAGCAGAAAAATGAAAGTCCGACATTTTCCAATTCATACATGATGAAAAAAAACAAGGTTCGGCCGGGACTCGAACCGAAGACCATAGGGTATAAAGGCATCCGCGTTACCACTAGGCCGCGAGGAAAGGTCTCCGAGTTGCCTAGGTTCGCTAATAAAGCAACTTCACAATTTCTTTTAGATGTGTAAGAGAAATTATTTCCGGAAAAAAAGTCTAGTTCGCGATTACAAGACACTTGATTTTGTAAGTGTAATGAATATGGAGAAACCAAAAATTAATCCTACGGAAATCGAACCTACGCTATCGACTACCTACAATTTTGGAATCCATTGCCTAGCAATAGAGCTATTTGCGGAACCTGTCATCAAAATACCAGCCAATAACATATTGGCGGATTTTTCCAGCAACAGGCACTAACTTTGACGCTTTTGAGAAAGCGACACATATTTATGCGGCTTGTGTTAGAAAAAAAGTTGATTATTAGTATAAAACAAGCAATTACTGAAGACAGATGAATCTCGGACAATTAATTTGGTTTTGAACTTACATGGAATTGCAACCTTCAGTAATGTAATTCACAAGTAAAGTGAAGGAATATTACCAAACATAGATTAGCAGATAAAAATTCAGAAATGTGCCGCCGTCGGGTCGAAGCAAATGCGTTATAATCTGAATAACAGCGATAAGTCTGGTTGAAACTCGAATACAGTGATTAAAAAATAATAAAAATACGTTTGTAATTATGTAATTAATTGCACACTTGCTTTTGCGCGAGAAAACAGCACAGCAATGTTTGGACCTGGCGCATAAGTATAAAGACAAAGCCGAGGTGGTTTTTGTTCTCTGGTAATAAATTAATCTTTAAAGGCGCACAAGATACTGCGTCGCATTATGTTAAATTATCAGAACAATGATGCAATAAATTGACCAAGCTGTACTTCAGAAGCTTTCGAGTTAAATTGTCAGTACTTGTACTGTAATTGTGATTTGCGTGAATTATCACAAAAATTTTACATCGAAAATATTCGTTAGCCACAGCTGAACGACACCAACAAAACAAATCAGACAATCGATCGTGCAACCAGGTGTCCCAAAAACCAATCTCACAATTTCTGTCCAGCTGATATTTCACAGCGGCCGACAAAATTTATGCTCTAGCAAGTTCACTCAACTAGCTTCATTTGAACCAAAAACTAAAAGAAAGCCCAAAAATGAGTTCAACTCGGAGTGTCGAGTCTGGACGTTCATTGCACGTACCCGTATCTGTATGCATCTGCTGAGTTCAATTACAGGGAAAAACAGCTAGTTCAAGAAGCAGCTGCAAAAATAAATAATGAAGGACCTTGTTGTATGTAAATTTGAAATTAATTTTAAATGGATTTTATTTAGAAAGTCCGGACGATGCACTTTAAGAACTTAAGGGAAATGAGATGTGATCAGTTCTAAAAGTGTGCCTTAAATAACTCATACTCAAATAATAGTTAGTAGCTTTAAAAAGGGGGCAAATAGCTTAATCATGTAATAGCTGCGGCCATTGTATGAAGTGGCAATTAACTTAATTGACTCTTTAGTAATTGCGAGCTACTCTGCGATATCCGAGGCGCTTGAAGATACTTCTTCAAAATCAGGTGTACAAGCTACGATTCGATCAACTATTGAGCAGAGCAGTGTATATCCAATCAGAATTAAATGGCACAACAATCAAAATTAATAGCAGCAGTTCAAAAATGGGCCACTAAATAACTACTTAATTAAGCAATAAATTTAACACCTTTTACTATTGATTTAGGGGGACAAAAGTAAGACATGGGAAGACTTGAATAATCTGAGCAGGCAATACCCCTTCGTCCCTCCCTCCCCAAAGACACTACAATTCCCGAGCCAATCAGCGCTCTTCTTTCTACAGCAAAGAGACTAGTGCCGTGACCTTTTTTAATTAACATATCTTTTCGGATCAAAAGGGTAGTCAAATGAAAGAAAAGTAACCTGAGCAAGCATTAACTGAGCAATTAAAGGGGTCAAAGGAGTCATCAGGAATCGGAATAATAGCGGAAACAAATCGATTTAGGATTTATTAGATTTTGCAAACAGAAATGACAGCTAATAACTGGGAGAATTGTATTAAATTCCTGTTGTTACCCTGGAGTGTTTTAATAAGTTCTTGTCACATTGCATTTGAGAGGTAGAATAACCAAAATAAATTTAAAAGAATCTTTGAAAAAGCCACAGACTTTTGTTTAGTGACACATTATTACCTATATCCCCTCTCAGAATACATTAGCTTCTAAAATTTCGGAACTCGTTAGCTTCGGACCACGCAAATGAGGGGAGATTCGTTTCTAGGTACAAAATTTACATATGCATAACTGTTGAATTAGTTCGTTATAGGTGGAAATTCGTTACTGGATACCTTAAGGGAGCAATAAAATTGGGATCAAGTTAACAGTTAACATCCTCCATCCCCTCCCCGCCAGACCAAGTTAAGATCTTTTACCCCAGCCTTTAATTCAGAATAAATTTGCTAAGTGCTGCATGTAAAATGCTGGATTCTGATTGGCTGAAAATGTCAACTTAGAACCAAGTTAACATCCTCCCCACCCCCGGGCTTTGGGGGATGTTAACTTGGTCCTAAAATTATTGCAGCAACATAAAAATTCTGAACATGCCCTTGCACAACTTTGCTTACCAGATTCAACTTACTAGATATGTAGAGGACGATTCAAGCAGGAGCCACTCGGAGTGAAAAGGAAAGTGAATTTGCGATTCAACTGATGGTTTTTTTTTCAGACATCAATGGTGGACACCTCACCTCATCCAAGAAATGATTAACAGATTGTGGCAGAGCAGCTCTGTTCAGAAGATAATTTAAACAAGTTTGATTACACTTCAGGCTGACAGCAGAGTACACACCAATAGTTCAAAAGAGCCCTCGTTCACTTCTATTCAGTAGAACAATCGAGCAAATGTTTGAAGCGATACGGCTACCCTAATCTATACACAGCACAGGTATCAAATGAATCAAATATGCAAAATTAGGGCACAATTACGTATACTTGGCCAACTTCGAAATAATGTAACCAGATTTGTAAGAGTAACTTTGGTACCAACTTTGATTTTTCACAAAAGGAAATGAAGCCAACGCAAATGAAAAAAAAAGCTGAAATAAGAATGACGATAGACAGAAAAGAACCAATAGATTCCATGAAGTTTGCAGTTGAGATAATAAAATAACCAACCAATCGCGACATAGCAAAAACCATTTGATTTTGGTGGAGTGGAAGTAAAAAAAATTACAGCTAAGTGACGCTGAACTGACTTACTTCTCTTTTAATCTACATCAATTTCCAGGCGACAAGATGTCGTTTGGGACATTTTTGAGCATTTGTTGATTAAAATTAAGCTTGCTAGTTTGGGCACTTTTCTCTCGCAATTACTTAAAAATATGAACAGAATGGTCAATTGTAACTTTCGACTGAGTTTATTTCATCATTCCACTGTGTTGGGGGGGGGGGGGGGGGGGGGTATGCTAGTACTATTTGGAGAAGACAATACTCATTAGTGTGTTGTGTGTGATAAAGCGGCTCCACAGTATGTCTCGATCGACATCGGGAAACAATATGCAGAGGGGCTCTCAGTCTGCAATCAATGGCAGCAGAGACGAAAAAAGCAGGCTAATGAGTTACACTTCTCACATCATCAACATACATTTATTCTAATTTCTTTCACTTTCCATTCATACTTTCACCAATTCACGTCATGCAAAATCAAAAACTGACGACGATTATTCCTCTTTGCTTTGTGAAAAAATGGGAAGTTATTTGTATTAATTAAGATAAATCTAAAAGTCATCTGCGAAAAAATTCAAAAACTGATGAAAAACTCATGATTAACCAAAAAAAATTGCATGTAGTTCTTAAGCAGGGGCACAACAGCGGTTCACCGTGATGAGATGTACAGCTCGTATGTTGGTCCTATCCCTCGTGGATAAATGATCTTGAAATGATTAATTTACCTGGTTTTGATTGAAAGTGAAAACAGCGTTTCAAAATTAAATTGGTAAGCTTTTAGCCAATCAAATAATTGAATGTTGAGTAATTACAATGTTCCGGTGTTGGACCTGCTGTGTCGGTTGTTTTTGGATAGAGTTCGTAATTAGGATAGCGTCAAATGCGGCTTAATTAAAGTTGAAACAATGAAGCTAGAAATTTAGTGACAAGTAAAGTGAATTTGGTTTTGCCGAAATGGCTTGGCTGGATATTGTTTACGTGGCAGAAGTGTTTCAATGTTGGAAAGGTGCAAGCTAGTAGAGGGTAGATTAAGATTTCACGGGGATATAGGACTGTGTTGTCATTCTATTGGACACCAAGTCTTTGCCAGCCAGCCGCATATCACAAAACCACACTTCCACAGCCATACCGCAGCTATTCTATCAACTTTGATACTTCCCCTTCCACTCTTCCAATTATTTCCCCCCACAAATGGGAAGGCTGCATATTACAACAACTGTTGGTTGGGCAAAAGAAAACGGTTTGGGCCGGGCGCTGCAACTGGCTTTGGTTTCACACGACTCAATTTATGTCGTGGGGATTTGAGATATTGAAAGCGTGAAATTTTAAGCGTAGCGCGTCGCTTCTTAAGTCCGGGGTATTAGTTGGACTAAGCTCAAATCTCACACATGCTGTGCACCACGGCACCCAAGAAGTGGTCATTTTCTAACTCTTCTGATCAGAACTAGTAACGGCAACCCAAGTCCATTCAACAGCAGCTGTCCAACCTTAACAAACCCCAGCTCCCAGCCTAATCCCCTCTAAGTCCTAACACCACCATCGCCACCACCACTACCAACAACACATTCAGACCCCAGGGTTTTCCATATTTTGGGCCGCAATTTTCGCCATGATTGATATGGTTTCTTGATTCAATTTCGCATTCCTCGCAAGTTTTGAACATAACTTACATTTGAGCAAAACGTAATTCTTCACACCAATCAATTTTTGAGTTGAGCAGGTGAGTTTCGTGGTTCTTCAAAACTTGGATCAGATGTTCACATTCTGTTCAAAAAGAAATGGGTACTCAACAAGTACTTGTTAGTTAAATCAAAGGCGAGAATGTGAAGTCATTCCCAGCCCGCTTAAATAATCTTAAAGCTAGTTGAACACGAGGTAATTGGGAAGGGGGCACTTGCTACCAATAAATAATAACACGACACTAACTCTATTCCTCTTTCTTGTCACACCTAATAAGCAGAGTAAACAAGTTGGCAACTTTCTCTCTCTGCAGGACCCAATGTCACAGCTAGAAGGAAACAGCGCACAAATAAAGCTGAACAACAGGGAGACATGGCGAGAACCAGGGAATGAACAGAAGCCACCGAGAGAGGCGAGCAGAGAAGAAGAGAGATCACTCAGCTGCCTGCCAGCCAGACTTTATTGCCCGAGTTACTACCCCCCCCCCCCCCCCCCCCGCTAAAACCCCGTTGCACGTCCACCATATAACCCACACAAACACACACACATGCAATTCCTATTGAACTGAGTACTGGAGAAATGAAAAGGGCTAACCAATAACCGGTTACATAAATTCAATGCCACAAAAGTAGTGGCAATAAATAACATGTGGAATGCGCACCTCAAGTCTCCTCGGCCCCACGTGCGGCTGTTTCATAATACTGCAAACCTAATTGATTGGAATCACATGTTCGAGAAGAGAACCTAATTGGGAAAAGGTGGCTGAGCAGCCGGAGCCCTCATAATATCCTCTCAATTATTGGAAAGCGTTTCCACACCTCACTGCACCACACATGAATAAACACTGGCGCTCCAATTGGAGCACGAGGCCAGCACCGGTCTGGGCTAAGATCTGAAAACTTACCAAATGGCGCTTAATTCAAGTCATCTGAGCGTAATGAATAAATACCAGCATACACTGTGTTCCAAATGCAGAAGGCAGAATCGTGGACGCAGAAGGCAGAATTTGGCCAGGACAGAATGGAAAATGAACTTTTAATTTAGAACTTCTCTCTCAACTAAATGCTCAGCAATCTGGAGTTAGAATGTTGATTGATTCAATACACAAGTTCAGCAGGCGGCAACTTATGGCATTTGAGTGCACTTGGACTTGATAGTGCGATATGAGATTCAGCAGTTGTGTGTTATGACTACTTAGTAAATTGAAAGTAACTTATCAAATATCACATCTCGCATCAAATTAGTAGCGAATTTGTTTTTAATAAACAAGGCGACTATGAAAGCGCCGAACGCAGTGCCAGATAATTGAAAACGTCGCGACAGCTAATATTAGAAGGCTGCTGCCAAACGGTTGACAATTCAAATGGTAATCGAAAACAAATGCCGCCGCATGGAGCCAACAGGTCTTGAAGGGAAAAGTACATTGCTGACAATGACTTTGCATATTGCATTCGAACAATTCGGCCAAGCGTATTCAACCG